TCAGGGCTCCCTGGGCCCCCTTTGCAGCCTGGGAACCTAGGAGTGGGTATGAGAACCTGAAGGTGTGGAGAGGCCTTCTGATTTGCTGGGAGGTGTCTTGGTCCTGCCCCTTTTGAGCCTAGAGGTGCCTCAGGGACAGGACTGAGGTGGCCTTGGCTTCTTCCTTGGGTGCCTGAAGGGCAGGGGCCGCTGGCAGCCCCATCACTCTAGAGGTTCCTTCATTTTTTTCAGGCCTTGCATGTATCTCCAGGTGCCTGTGTTTGCACAGGGCTGTCTCTGGCTCTGCATGTTCCTACATGTGTGTTCCCTGTCTCCGTGAGCACAGCCTCTGGCTCTACTTGTGGGAGTCTGTTTCCACAGGTGCTTGTCACTGCAGATGCCCCTCCATATGCACATGTAGGTTTCTATTTTTGCACCTCTTTCTCCATATGTATCTTTGGGTCCCTGGCTGTGCATGTTTCTAAGGTGACTATGTGTGCAGAGACAGGGTGAGGCCAGGCTCAACACTCACACACAGGAGTGGGGGTCAGGCTCACAGACGGTGCCACCCCAGGGAGCCTGTGTATGTGTGTGCCTGCCTGCATAGAGACACCATGAGTCTGGGTAAACATGGGTGAGGAGGTCGTGCTGACAGACGGTGCTGCCTGCCCTGGGACCCTGTAAGGCATCTCCATCTGTTAGCTTCCCTGGTGCAGCCCCCTCCCTCTGGTCCAGACTCGCCTTAGGCATCTTAGGCTGAGCTGGACAAAGAGACATGTGTGTGCTTTCCAGGGATCCTCAGCAGCCTGCCCCCTCCAAGTCATTACAGCCTGCCTAAACTAATCATCCACCTCTACTCTGTCTTCATCTGTTAGGACCCCAGCACATGCCTCAGCTCCCACCAGACTTTACCCTCCTCTTGGCCTTGACTCAGTCAGTCCTTCCCAACCTGGCCCCTCAAAGCGTTCTGCCTCCTATGTTCAAGGGGTTCCTATTCTTGAATTCTCCCTCTTCCAGGAAGCCACCAAGGTAGCAGATAAGTAGTAGAGTCAGATTGATCAACTCCACCACTTGGGAACTTAGCTAAGCTCCCTCCACCCCCACCCCACCCTATCCTCAAACTCCCCAAAATGCTGCCTCCTCCCATGCACATATGCCCTGTCATCTACGTCTGCCCATGGGGCAACAGGACCTCCCCAAAGAAGGGAACAGGTACCCCTGCTGCATTGGTATCTATAGGCCATCACAGTTGGATGTGGGGCCATTCATGCACACGTGGGCACCCAGCACAGACGCACATGGATGTGTGCAGGCATGTCAGATCCTCAGGGTGTGTGCTCTGCTATAACTATGTATGGAGGCAGAATCTACAAACAGATGTGGAGACTGGGCTCCTGGGTGCCTCTGAAGTGTCCTGAAGTCCTGGTGTGCTTCTCTTTCCAGCCAGGATACCCTCTTGTCAGAGGATGGAGAGCCTAGCCCAAAACAGATGCTGCAGGGTGCTGCATCTTCAGAGGCAGCTGTGGACCCTCTCACACTGTACCAGTCGCTGCAGCACCTTGTTGGTGGAACCAGAAACCTAAGTGCCTTGAGGGCTCCCTGGGGTTGGGGAGTGGGGTCCCTGGTGGGGACACAGCTAAGCTGGGGCTGAAGGGCGGTGCCCAGTTGGACCTTGGAGACGCTCACCCGCACAGACACGAACACGTGCAGCCCTTTCACGGTGGCACCGCCTCTCTGCTGTCACCATGGTTACAGGGTGGCCTGGAGGGGGGAGGGGCCCTCCCATGTCAGCAGCACTGCATTGTCAGGACGGATGCATTTGGAATGGCCTCAGTGTGACCCAAGCGTCCCACTGTTGGAACGTGGGTCTATGCTGGGGTGTCCACGTGTGGGAGACACTGGGGTTTGCTTTTTAATATATGGAAACTCTGCAGCTTGTGTGCAGGGGTCCATGGTGAGTGGAGCCACTGAGCCAGGAGCAGGCTGAAGGAGTGGTACTGGAGAGGTTCTCTCCCCAGGGGTACCCTTCATCTCTCTCCCCCTGCCCTGCTGGTTGAGAACACTGGGGCTGGGGTTCTACCACCTGCTTTTATCCAAGCCCACTTCTGATTTAAATGAATGACCTTGGGCAGGTTTCTAGGTCTCTCTAAGCCCAGTTGCTCTCGCACCTCCTAAGGTTTTGGTAAAGATTGTTATTTTGTAAAGCATTTTAATGCATAATCTACGTCAGAGTAAATGCTCCATACATGTAATCTAACCTTTTATCCCTTGTGTCTGGGTCTGTTTTCCCAGTTATCTATGGGTTTGGAGTGACTGTATGGCATCAGCCTGAGGAATTTGTCCTGGTTCTTAACCTGAGTTATTCAGGCCAGTGTGGACCTAGCTCCAGTGGGTACTTGGGCGGCGGGGGCAGGGGGGTTTCAGTGTGCTGGTCTGATGGATGTGTCAGTTAACACCAAGGTAGGATGAGGCATGTGGCAGCCATCAGGAAACACTGCCCTCCTTGGCTATTTGTGCTGGAGACTCTGGAGTGGAAGAGAAGGAAGAGGCAGCAGCTGATCACCCTGTAGGGCTGAAGTCCTCCTGTGAGAAGACTTCCTTCTTCTCCCAGAGGTGGCAGAAGAGCAGTCTTCCCAGTGCTGCCTAGAAGTCTAGATGGCACAAGGGACTGGCTTTTGGGTTCTGCTATTTTATGGACAGCTCTTCACACTTGCTGGTTTTAGGCTCTGGCAGCAGTGCCTGAGGGATGATCTGAGCCAAGGACGGAGCCATTGAGGGCGTGATAATTGAGGAAGGAAAATTAATTGTCCTTAATTTGGCACAAATCCCAAAGACTTTCCCTGTGTCAGGAATTCAGAGTAGACTCCCAGGACATGGCCTCAGATGTTCATATTTCTTTCCTTCTCCTTGATCTTTACTTTGCAGGTAGAAATGAAGGCCAGCTAACTCTTGGGTCTGACTGTGGCAGACCCTGGCTACCCCCTACCCCCTCCATTTGCTGAGCAGGTAGGAATGAGGTCTAGGAAAAGCTAACCTGGTGCCCTGGTAGGTAGGATGGCTCTGGCATCCCCCAGTGTCCTCCAGCTGCTGGAGGAGAATGGGGAGGGAACCCTGGGCCTCAGGTCTTGCTTAGACTTACCTGTGAAAACAAGTGATGGAAGGACTAAAGGAAGCTATTCCTTTGCTAGGTGCATTCCACATCATCCTCCTCATTTCCATTCTGCCTTCATTCTTTTGCTACTGTCCTTTCAAAACTCAGAGCTGAAAGTCAGGGCACCTTGGGATCATATTTACAGCCAAGGAGATGCTGGGTTTATATCCGGAATTTATAGGACTGCAAGTGGGGAAGCACAAGCCAACTCTTGGGGAAGGCTGGGGAGGAGAAGCCATCCTGGAAGTCCTCCTGCTCCCCAACCTAAGACCCTTTCTCCTGATGATCCCCAGCCCCTTTGGGACGCCCCTGACATTTGCAGTTCCCCAGAGGTCTGGCAGAAGATAGAGCCCTGTCTTACCCTGCCTATTGGGGCTCCTCCAGTTTCCTTTCCTCCCTATCCCCCTAATCCTTCCCCTGGGGACTCCCAAGAGTCTCCAGGGAGGGTTGGCTCTGCCAGTCTTCACTTTGTTCCCTTCCAAGGATGTTACATGCTTTTCCCCTGGTATAGGAGCCTGATCTCAGCAAGTGTCCCACTCACCCGTCTTGGGCTGGGCCTGTGGGAGAAAGGTACAGAGTGGTCTCCCTACCACAGAACCCAGCTTCTTGCCAGGAGGTGGACAAACAGCAAATATTCCTTTGCCCCATTGGGTGTGTCTGGCATCCTTGTGGCAGAGAGGCACTGATACATTTGATGGTTGTCCCAATGGGGAGGGCCTCTTGCCAGCTGAGGACAGGAAAGGGCACCACAGGCCCTGTCCTCAGTACCTATCTGCCCTAGAAATTCAGCCCTTGCTAGTTAAAATAATGTCCTCTAGTATGAATGTGGATTCTATCATATACCTCTCTGACACCTTGCATACGTTTCCAGGTGTCCTTTAGGTGGCTTTACAAGGCATATGGGGTGGGCACTTGAACCCCATGGACAGATAAAAGTAAATGCACAGAAAGACTAGAGAATGTACCCAGGTCTTAAAGTTAGTTACACGTGGAAATGGAAATTCCACTTGGTCTATTCTAGTCCAGGACCTGAACTCCTACCTCCTCATTCTATCAAAGGGTGGGGAACAGGCTGCTGCTATCAATTCCTGTTGGTCCCACGGAAGTTAACTCCTCTGTGCGCTGCCAACTCCTGGAAAGCTGGGAGAAGTGGCAGGGAGTTTTTCCTCCTTCCACCAGTGTTCGATGTCTCCATAGAGCTTTTTTGTCATCATGCTCAGGCATGATCCCCAGGTCTGAACATAGTTCCCAGGGGCCAGACTGAGAGAGAGGGGAGGGGGAGGGAGGAGAGGGAGGCGGCTCAGGGTCAAGGCTGCTATAGAGAAGGGGTCAGGGACGGGACCAGAAGTAGAAGAGGATCAGTGATAGGGCAGGGTGCCCAGGGTCATGGCATTCTGCCATATGTGGAGCTGAAGGGGATGCAGGTAGAAGAGGAGCACCTTGCATGCTGACTTGGGAGCAGAGGCAGGGCTCTGTCTGGGTTGTGATTTGATGCTGTGGGAGCTGCCCCTGCCCCCCTTTCGCAGCCTGGTGTCCATGCAGCACTTTCTGCTACAGCCAGTAGAGCATTGATCTCATTCTTCCCAGGGCCTAGAGAGAGAACTGCTGACGACTTCAGTCTGAGGCATTATTTCTGAGACCTGGAAACTCACCAAAGGGGTAGAGGTGGGCCCTGCTGCAGCCCCCAACCCTGCCAAAAGTGGGTTAGGACCCTAGTTCCTCACTTCAGGGTAGTCCTCATGCTTAGAAATCAGAGGTAGGGGAAAGAGGGTTTTGTGTATCCCAGCCAACCTGGGAGTCAGGGGACACAGAGAGGTCCTGGGGGCAGGCAGGGCCAGCCCTAACATGCACATCACTGTCTTGTCTACAGAGGAACAGCTGCCATCTGGGTTCCCCACCATCGACATGGGGCCTCAGCTGAAGGTGGTGGAGAAGGCGCGCACGGCCACCATGCTGTGTGCAGCTGGTGGGAATCCAGATCCTGAGATCTCTTGGTTCAAAGACTTCCTTCCTGTGGACCCCGCCACCAGCAATGGGCGCATCAAACAGCTGCGTTCAGGTGAGCTGAGGGCAGGGATAAAGGGGTCACAAAGACCTTGGGAAAGGCATCTTGCCAGAACCTCACACAGTCTTCCCTTTTGGGCCTAGGTATCTGGGGCAGACCCTTCGGGCTGAGCAGAGCGCTGCCATTGGGGGAGGCTGGAACTTGTTGCAGAACTGCCTGGTCCAGGGAAGATGACTTGGTGGAGAGATCTTCTTAGCTCTGCCTATATCTTCCTGGAATTGTCAGACTCCAGACTGGACCAGTTCTGTGCCTCCCAACACATGTGACATACTATCATGTGTGGCACGCTCTGCGAATGTGTCTGTGGGTATTCATCCTCCACTTTCCCTGTAGCCTTGCCTGAGACACGGCCGGGATGATTCTTCTCTAGACAGCAGGACTTGACTGGGAAAGAGACCAAAGATGTTTGATTCATTAGGTTTCAAAAGGCTGGACCTCAGGGGCCTGGAAACAGGGGGACTTGCTGCCATCCCTTGGCCACCAGGGCCACCTGTCTCCTCTGGATTTCTCAGTCGAGCCAAGTTGGAGTCCTGGGAGCAAGGATGCCATTGTGACCAGGCAGGAGGTGTCGCCCCGTTGATCGATCTGCCTACAAGACTCCCGCCAAGAAAATTGATTCAGTTTTTGTGGGAACTGAGCGGGCGGGAAAGGAGGCTCTGAATCAGCTTGGCTGCATTCTGCATCTGCTGCCAGCTCAAGCTGGACCCATAGACCTTACTCCAGAAACCCTACCAGCTGCGGGATGGTGGTTCTCAGGCAGGAGTGGCCAGAGCCCCTGCCACCTGTCTGCTGTGCTGCCAACCCTTAGAAGAACACGACTGTACCCCTCTGGGGGCCTCTGCTGGCTTTAGAAATGCCCCACCACTCCCAGGGGTGCTAGTCCCTCCCTACCAACTCCCAACAGGCACATATCCTCTTGGTGCCCAGGGAAAGGAGGGAGAGATGAGCCACCCAGTGGGGCAGGATTCCGGCCCTAGCCACGGCCGCCTGAGACAGCCCACGAAGTGTTAGCTCATTTAATTTAATTAAAACTCAACAAGATGGAGGCAGCTGTAGCGCAGTTAATTAAAACAGCCATAATCAAGGCAGGAAACGGTCCGGCGGTGTTTGTGGCCGCTGCCCAGCCCTGCACAGCAGCCGGCATGGCTCAGCTCCTCTGCATTTCCTCTCAGGTCCCCCAGGCGGGCTCCCCAAGCAGCCAGACAGTTCTCCCCACAGACTTGACTCCTCCCCGGAATGGCATTGACTGACTGGCAGCAGTAGTTCTGGGAAGCCCTGCCGTCTCAAGCGTTTGTTCATCAAGTATTTATGTGCTACTCGCTGTGTGCCAGGCCTTGTGCCACCCCTTCCCTGCCCGTCATTTCACTAGGTGCTATTCGGACCTCATCTCCTTGTCCTGTCAGCAGTGGCTGACACCCTTTCCTCCACCTTGACCACTTTTTCTCACTTCTCCTGGGCTGTGCCTCTCCTGACCCCTGTCTGAGTCCCCAAGTGCCCCTCCCTTACAGCAGCATCTTTGTCTGTAGGTTCCTCCAACCCAAGAGCCAGGGAATCCAGTCCTTGCCCCATAGACACAGCCTTTCCCCAGACAGGTGAACTCACTACTCCTAGAGCTTCAGATGTTCCTTATCTGTAGTTCCTACCTCTGTCTTTCCAGCCCAAATAACTTACCAGAGCTCTAGGTCACAAAATCTGTTTGCTTCCCTATATCACCCTGACTGGAACAAGTGATGACCCTCTCCCCAGTTAGTTAGGCTCTTCTCCTGTTGACCCTCTCTAGGAGTGGCATCCCCCAATCTGAAATCTGGAGGACACCCAACTCCTACTCCAGTAAAGAACAAAGTTCTCTTGGTTTATCACCCACATGGCTCTCAAATTGGTCCCCTTCTTTCCTTTCACTGCCTTTATCCTATTCTAGGGCACCAAACCCCACTCTCCCTATCTGCAGGCTTTCCTGAGAATCCATCTTCCAGCAGCTATCAGAGATCTGCTTGTGTTCCTCCTGTGCTCTGACAACCTCAGGGGTGGACCCTGGGCCCATGACCCTTGACCAGGCCTACGTGGTCAAATACGTGCTCCTGGACAAGGGTAGCAGAACCCTTGATCTTCCCCTGCCCATGTCTCCAGCTTTATCTCACTGGGTCCCAGCTGCACCTTTCCTAGCTCTGTGGCCCCAATTAAATGAACTTTGTCAGTTTTCTCATCTTTGAAAGAAGCTATGTTAAGTAGTGAGACAATGACTATCCGTTTACTGGCTAGCCTTTGGTAAGGGCCCTGTGAATAGAGCTCTCCCTGCCTCCTGCCACTCCCCGACTCATATTGAGCCACACGGTACCCTTGCTCACCTCTTGGCCCTCTGTTCACCTGGTTCTTCCACTTGAAGGCCTCCAACCTTCTTGGCCTTAGCCTACTCATGCAGGACTCATCCTGCTTCATGTTGTTACCATCTGGCCCCAGCTAGGCTAGGCATTCCTTCAGGGAGAACCTGCAAGGGATTAACTCTGTTTAGAGAAATGCCCCCAAGCCCAGCTATAGGTCAGGTCTCTCTGAGCCCTTGTTGAATGAATGATTTTATGAACTTGATCTTTGGTACTTGTCTCTGAAAACTAATATTCAGTCCTTGTTTGGTCATTCCTACCATCTGGAGCTGAGATTTATGAGTCATAGGGTCTAGCTTAAGGCTTAGGGTCTAGCTTTTAGGATAGAGCTATGTGGTACCCAAGGGGCCTCAGCATCCCATCTTTGCAGGTACAACAGGATCTCTCCCCATCCCTGCCTGACTCTTGCCTATGACCCTGGACCCCAGTTGCTGCTGTCCTGCCTGTTACCATTTGGAAGGGTGCTGAGGCTATTCCATGCAAATTTTACAGTAACATCCCTTCATGGAGTGGAGTCAGGCCCCTGAGCACTTGGCTATTTACAAGGATCTTGATGGTTTACGCTTCACCAACAGTTTACAAAGTGCTTTCCTGCCCTTTGTTGCAGCTGACTGCTGCAACTCTGTGAAGTAGGACAGGCTGGATTAACATGCCCATTCACGGCTGAGTTAAGGAAGTCACCTGGGGTTACACATGGAGATTGGGACTCAGGTCTGAGAGCTCCCCTGGGAGGTCAACCTGGGGCCTCTGGAGTAGCTGGACTTTACTAGGGCTCTAGATCTGCACAGTCTCATCTTCAGGCCTCAGGCCCCCACTGACCAGTACCAAGAAGTCCTCCATTTTCTGTTATCTGATCCCCGTAGTACATCCAACTAGGATGTGGCCCCTAGAGCATGAGCTAGTCAGGGTGGCTGGCAGCACATGCTGCTGAGGTGTGGATGCTGTTCTATAGCCTCTTTCTTTACTGCAGCAATGTGACTCCTGAACACTATAATCTGTGGACCACTGGAACTTGAGACCTGGCGTGGGCCCAGGGAAACAAGGATAAGTTCAGAGCATATGGAAATAGAGTCATAAGCAGGAAGTGTTAAGCAGGCTGACTTCCAAGTGGGGCTCAAGACCACTACTGTGTTATGAAAGGTACTGTTAGCCCATAAGTTCTGCCAAGCCTGGACAGCACTCTGAGGCTTCCTGTGTTCCCATATGGCTTGAGTGAGTAAGCCTCTGTCCCTGCCACTGTAGAAGGACAGTCTTACTCACCATGTCCACAGAACCTGAACGAGACCTATAGCCTCAAGAAGAGATGGCAGCATTTGGCTGCAGGAAGAGGCTTGCTGACCCCAGCAGGAAGAATATCTACTGCCCCTTATTCTGCTAGTTAGCCCTAGCTCTTGACTGGAAGAGCCCTTCTATCTTTCTCTGCTCTGCCTGGCTGGGTCTTCCAGAAAATCACATTGTCATTGTGTGGTCATGGTTTCCCTTTGGCCCTGAGCTCACTGGTGCCTCTTGAGCCTGAGCACACTCCTGGGGTGACTGACTAATGGGTCCCCTTTAGTTCCTTACACCTATCTTGTGAAATGGAAAAGGCAAATTCTCTCAGTTTGGTAGGGAAATTGCAGTTCTGAGAGGTCAGCAGGTTAGGTTTTGGAAGAACTGAAGCCAGGGGATGGAGGGTTCCCAGACCTGGATTGTACACACATCCACCCCAACCTGAGCCTGGCCCAGACCATAGGAGCATGTCTGTCAGCAGCTGTCAACTTGCAGGATCTCTACTTGTAACTATCAGATGACCTTAGGGAGCTTTGATTTGTGTGAATTTTATCTATCAATGATTAAAACTGAAAAGATTAAAATATTTACTAATCTATTTTAAAATAAAAACCTATTATATTTTAATATAAATAACATTTTAAGTAAAAAAATAATTTTCTTAAACAAAATTTACTGAGAAGAACCTCATTGTTTTACACTTTAACAAACCTGTTTAATTTGGGGCTTGATGGAAGGCAGCTAGATTCCCATATATGCTCCTGCATTCAGCCTGTTATGCTATCACATATGGCTTGTCCTCTAAAAAAACTCTGCTGTATGTTCGTGAGAGAAAGAGGGTGAATATGACAAACTATTTCCTACTATGATAGAAATAGTTTAAACGTTGTGGACTCCTGAAAGATTCTCCGGGATCCCTGCTCAGTCACGGTGATGATTCTTTCCACTTCTCAGTGCACCCCTCAGACACACCCCTGTCCCAGCAGCTGCCTTTGCCTTCTCCCAGGTTTTGTCTGCAGGAGGCGGTCTTGTCCAGTGGGAAGGCTGTGAGCAGGATGGACTGATCAAATCCTGCCACCTCACTTACAGACTGTGTCCTTGGGCTTTGGGCAAGCTGCTTAATATTTCTCAGCCTCTCTTTTCTCCTGTATGTATAGAGGTGGATTTTCCTCCAGGTGGACATTGTCAGGTTCAGGGAGACCATGAATGGTGTGTGTCTCTCTGCACACTTCCATCCCCCAGAAGCTGGCAGGAAAGGACAGGGTAGATGGAGTTAGTCCTGCTCTACCCCTAGGTTCCCTACTCCTGAATAAGGCAGTGGTTGAACAGGGGGCCTGAGCCTCAGAGGAGGGACCTGTCAAAAGGAACCTGCTTGGATGTAGTAAGAGTCATGGATTTGGAGGGCAAGTGCCTGACCCTTTTTTTGCTGTCAGTTCCCAGGGTTATGAGGCATTAGGCAAGGAGTGGGCACTGGCCTCTACCTCTCACCAGTCAGGCTAAGGGGTCTCGGCAGTCCTTCCATCTTTAGCAAGGTCGGGTGGACTTCCTAGGGAGACTGCTGTGGGATATGAGTTGATTGCTACTTCCAATGCCAGCTGTGGGCTGGTCTGTTTGTGAGACATGGTCTGGTGCTGACCTGTGGGAACACCCCGACCCCACACCTAACCCTACCTTCTTCCTGCTCAAACTCCCCAGGTTTGGTCTTGGTAAGTCCTGTGTTTGTAAACTTATTTCCCTATGGTATTTGGGTGGAATGCAGAGGGAGGTTGCTGCCTCTTTTCTTTCCTTTCCCCTCCATTTGCCCAACTAGCGGGAGCTGCAGGAACCCTGACAGACCTTCTTGACTCCTGTCACCCCCAGCCCTGCTAACTCCCGCCTCACCTCCTCAGAGCAGTGCCAGTGACCTGGGGAACACGCTTCACCTTCACTCAGCATAGCCCAACCTGGTGCTTGCTCACACATCTGTGTGGGCTGAACTCAGGCCTCAAGTTCTCCATATATTTAAGGCCCTTTCTTGTGTTTTATTTTATCTGATTTGGCTTTGTGTGGCTTTCCTTTCTTTTGTACTAATGCTTCTCTCTGATCTTATTTGCATTCAAATTACCTCGCCAGGTGGTTCACCAATCAGAGGTAAGAATGCTGTCCGTGCATCTCTCCACACCACACCTCCGCCACTGCTGTCACCTCCACTCCATCCCGTCCAGTCCGTCACCTCCCCATCCCCATCCCGACCTCTCCAGCCTCTTCATTTCCAGCTCCAGCCCCCCAACACCCACCAGCCACCACACACCTCCACTCAGTCATTCCCTCCTGTGGACTCATTCATTGCAAGTCTGAGTTGTGGAGAAAGTAGCGGAGCCCTGCCTTGGATGGCAAGCCCTGCTGCCCACACCTTCTAGGCAGCCCCACAGAAGGGACCCAGCTGTCTCCCACAGTGAAACCCAGCTTGCCCCTAAGGCTGGCCATAAATGGAGATGCTTCCTATAGATTAGACAGCATAGCTAAACCTCACCTGTCCCTTTGAACATCTTTTTCTTGGGGAATCTCAATTATTACTTGACTTCCCCTTTAGTGTCTTGGTCCTGTAGTCAAATAAGAATCATCCCTTAAGTTCCTTCAGCCTTGCATTGACTAGAAGAAATATTCATTGCTTAAGACTTGAGATACTAGGATGACAACAGGGAAATAAACAGGCACAGACATAACTAGGTCCCCTGACCTGTCAGCTTGGAGTTCTGCCAAGCTACATTCATGTAACAGGTCCCTGCAAACTAGTGGTTAGAAAGCAGATTCTGGATTCATTGGATCTAGGTGCAAGTCTAACTCGCCACCTGTGTGATCTTTAAAAAAAATTGACCATCTCTCATTTACTCCTCTTTGAATTAGAGCCAAGGCCACCTACACACAGGTCCATCCAAATTAGAGGAGAGAATGATAATGTGAATGGCATCTTGTAAAACTGTGGCTTTGTTTTTAATCCTGTTATTTTTCTCCCCACATTCCTCAGTGTTTGTGGGTGTATCTTGGCCTTCAGAGTTCAAGGCCAGGGTACTCAAGGCAGAAGTTCAGGGTAGGAAGGGAAGTTGCCTTATTGCCATCACCTGAGGACAGGACTCACTTCACCTGCATCCCTCCAGATCTCCCTATGCCCCTCAGGTTCTCCCCACACATCCACTCAGCACATTCTGACTCTGTACACTCCCTACTGCTGGGTCTTGGTGTTGGTATCAGATTTAGGGGTTTCCGTGTTCAGGTAGTCACAGGGTCTGTGTTGGGGCTCCTGACCAGTCTTAGGCTTGTGTTAAAAGGCAGCTTCCCCCTCCCATGGGCTGGAATCCTACCCAGGCATCACTTCCTGCCCCCAGCCTGTGTTACTAGCCACTCAGTCTCCCTTGAACCCCTGCTAAGCTGACCTTAGGGCAGCCCCCACCAGTCAGGGGCCTGGCCCTCACCTGCTTGAATGAACATTTTCTGTAACAGTGTCCATCCATCCCATAAACATGACTTGTTGGGGGTGCATCAGGGCCGTTCTTGCAGGAGATGGTATTTGGCGTGTGCACTAGGCTCTGATACCCCCTGATGCCAATGGGAGGTCTGAATTCAGGACCACAGAGACAGGCCAGTCCTTTGTCCTTCATTGGTGGCACTCCCTCTCCCTCCAACTCCCAGCCCCTTGGTTGTTCATAGTCCCTCTTGCTGCCCAGGGTGTAGATGAAAGAGGGATGCTTGGTCATAAAGGGGCTATAGCTTGCACCCACTGTGGTGCTCCCCTTGGGCCTGGGCTGTGAGAACATGGCTTGGAACTCTTCCTGTGGCTCCTATTCAGTCCACTTATGTGGGGCCTAGCAAGTTCTGTTTGTCCTGTGTAGGTGTGATCATCAGTCACCCCAGGTTCTGGGGTGGGGGTGGGGACTATTAGGGTCATTCTGGTTGTTCTGTGCAAGAGGTGGTTTTCTGTCAGACTGTGTCCTGTGAGGATTATTAACTATCCGTTGGACTGTCCTGTGTGGGTGTAATTGTCTGTCGGACTGTTCCAGGGAGGGGCATGTTGCTTCTGTGCCCCATGGGTTTTACTGTCACCAATAGCTTGCCCAGAGTATTCTCATAGTTTTTTTAAAGTGTTGGTTACTAGGGCTGGGAGCTAGCCAAGGCAAGTGGTTTCACCCCTATTCTGGCCCTCTACCTTGACTCCCCTACCTGGACCAGCCAGGACTGGCCCGAAGCCCCAGTTCCCTCCATCCTCTGGGAAGGTTTTTTCCAGCTGCGCTCCCTGTCCCCCGCCCCCCACAGTCCTGGCTCCTGTCTGTCCGTCTGTGGCCAGAGCAGCCCCTCAGGGTGCTGGCCAGAGTGGGAGCTGCAGCCTCCATTAGCCTCCTGAATTATGCAGGAGCCGTGGTGGGTCGAAGCACTTTAGCAGGACCAGGCTGAGGAAAGGAGCCGGAATGGGTGGGGCCAGCAGCATGGGGTGAAGTGGGAGGGGAGGATGGGGACCAGAGCAAAGGCTGTTGGACAGCAGGCCCCTCAGGCAAGCCATTTCCTTCCTGGTGGGCACCAGAGCCTCAGGTTCTTACCTGATGAGGGCATTGCATGCTTAGGAATCCCAGGTGGGCAGGTCTACAAGGCCACTCTTGCACCTGGCTCCAAGTTGCCCGGCAGGCCTTGTGTTCAGAAGCACTAAAGGCGTGATCACTGGTAACAGGCTCCAGAACTGGCAGGAGTGTGATGGACACCTAGTGGAATTGGGAATAGGGTGCATTCCCTGCTGGAGCAGAGTTTGGCCTGCAGAGTGGGTGGGATTGTGCTCCAAAGCACAATCCTTGGTTGTAGCCTGGAGGTTAACTGGCTTTTCAGGGAGAGTTTCCTGGAAGCAGCACAGGTGCCAAAGGGTGTGGCCCAGGAGAGCTGCAACATCTGGTCGACACAAACCACAGACGCTGTTAAGACCTCATGTTCCAGGTCACACTCAACTTGGCCATGGCTGACCACTCTATTTGTGTTCCTACAGGTGCCTTGCAGATTGAGAGCAGCGAAGAGTCAGACCAAGGCAAGTACGAGTGTGTGGCAACCAACTCAGCAGGCACACGCTACTCGGCCCCTGCGAACCTGTATGTGCGAGGTAAGAACTTGGCAGTGCCTGGCCTCTATCACCATGGAGCTGAGCTGCACCTGCCAGACATGCCGCCTGGAGCCCTTGGTGCAGACACTCAAGGGACTGCCATGGGCCCAGACTCTCCTTTCCTTCTCTTTTAGCAGCAGTGGCAGCGGCAGCAGCTCCCATTGGGTAGGCTCATAGTGTCTGCCACAACTTGCCTTCCTTCCCTGCAGGCCCTTGAGGAAGCTGCCCCTCTTGGGAGCATTTGTATTTCTTGTAGGTCCTTGCTACGTGGGCCCAGAGCCCTATGGGAGTCTGGAGCATTCCAAGTGGACTTCTTGGTGTGTGTATTGTGTGTGTTCCATGTATGTGCAGGCCAGTGTAATTTGCGTGTGCACACCTGGCCTGGCTTTCCTCCAGTCTGTCCTCCTGCCTACTCTAGCAGGGTGGGCTCTTGGCCCACTCTGGATTTTGAGGCAGTCAGTCTTCAAATGGACCAGGTGAGCCTGACCCTTGGGGTCTTCCTGGAGGAGGCTGCTATTCTGTATCATCAGCCAGACCCTTTGTGTAGGGGGTCAGACTGAGGCAGCTGTGAGTGCCTGCAGGTACATTGCTTTGGGTGAGCACCTAGTGTGTTTGTGTGTTCCTTATTGGGATTGAGTGAATTGTGTGTTCTTCAAAGTCTAGGTACTTGAAAGAGGGGAGCTGGAGACTTGTTTTGGGGTGTCACTTCTCTGATATGCTCACAGCCTAGAGGCAACCAAAGCCAACTATCTTTTCCCCTTCTTGAGAACACACTGGGTCTTGTGTGACTGGTGCCCTGAAGGACCCCTAGAAGGCCTTCCTAGCCACCACTGTCCCGTACTTAGCCCTCTTGCTCAGAGGGATGTCACTAGAAGTTAAACTGTCTCTTCTCAGGGGGCTTGTAAAGGAAAGCGAGGCAACATCGCCTCAGTGAGAGCAAGTGCTCAGTGCCATCTTAGAGGCCATCTGACTGCCCCCTTTCCCCTCCCCAGTGCATGGGGCAGGGGTGATGACAGTTGGCCTGTGCTATTCTTCAGGGCCATTTGATCAGACTTTGGTGAATTCAGAGAGGCCAGAGAGAATTAGTCCATCAGCTAACAAGTACTTATTAAGGGTCTGCTATATATCAGGGCAGAGGGAGGTTAGGGAAAGGCCACATGCTGCCTGCCCATTTGGTGACCAGTCAAGCTGTGTAAGAGCTGTTTGTGATAGGCAAATTGTGCTCCGGAGACAAGTGAAGATGCTTCATGGGAGTTGGGATGGGAAGTTGCCATCTCCCTGCTCGTTGTTAGGTGTCTCAGCTCAGCAAGGCTCAGTTGAGCTGACCTAGTGCCTGTCTTCAGGATCAGGAGCCCAAGAACCTCTCAAATGGCTGAGAGGAATGGAACCTTCACCCCATGCTGATCCCTCTTAAGAGTTTAGCAGCTGGAAAGACCCTTCTCAGTGCCCAGTCTCCTCCCACTCCACCATATCATGAATGTGTGTGCTCTCAACTGTGTGCTTTTCCTAAAGACTGTAGTAGGGCTGGGATTTCAGAGGTCCCAGGCCTTAACAAGGAAAGCCCTGTCTGCATGTGGCTATGTGAGGCAGAGGAGAGGCCCAGAAGAGCCACTGTAAACAATAAGCAAGCTGTGCAGTGTGGCCCTGTGGACACATTTTTGGGAATAGAACTGCAGAGGCACTACTAAAGCAGAAGGCTCAGACTGGAGAAGGATGGACTCTTCTTGTCCTTTTAGTTGGAAAGTCACTGTCTGACTCACTGTCATCCTGGTCTCCACCCTGGAAGTGACACAGTGGTTCTCCTTGGAGGTGGGCTAAGCGGGCAGCTCAGGCCCTGAGTGACTCCTTCTTGGAGCATCCCTGTTTACAGTGCCCCTGCTGTCCACATGTGGTAGGTTCAGGCAGGACCCTGACTGGCTCCTGCTGTGGCCTATACCCCCCACCAGGTGTTCTTAAATTCACCTTCCTGGCTCCATTCTCAAGACTTTTTTTGCCAGGGAATGTGGGGGTTCCTTTAGTTTCAGCTTATTTTTCCACGGATGCTAAAACAGCCAACCTTGCTTCTGCTGTTCCCCATGCCCCATGGGCCCTAATTAAATATAAAGACAACTCAATCCTCTCTTCCCAGGGTCTACCTCATATCAAGGCCCCAGCTAATCTACACCTTCCCTCCTTTGCCGAGCATAACAGGCCCAGGACAGGTTACACCTTTCTGATAAGTCTTCTGCATACTTGAAAAGTCTTGCTCCCGAAAACCCTCTCCTCTTATTCCTGGCAAAGCCCCCTTGCCTTCCACCCCAGCTCCTCTGGGACAAGCCTGTATTGTGTTGGCCCCCAGTTCTGTATTCTAAACCCTAGTTGTAAGCAGGCAGCCATGGCAGAACCCCTCTCAGTGCCAGCCTACCTTGGCCTGTGCCCCACCTGTCCCCCAGCACAGTGGCTTCCAGGCTTCTTTCCACTGCAGACTCGTGTTACCCTCCAGAGGGGAAGGCCACCTCTGGGCTTCAACTCTGTCTAGGCATGAGCCTCTCTGTCCAGGTGGGTGTGGACTCTAGCTGCAAGGTTCCTCAACCCCAGCACTGTTGACATTTTGGACTGGATAATTCATGGTTGAGGATAATTCTTGGTACCGTACATAGTTGGATATTTAGTAGCATTTGTGGCCAGCTAAATACCATTAGTCAAATCAACCTGGATAACCAAAACTCTTGCCAGACATCACCAAGTGTAACCTGAGGAGAATTGCCCCAGTTGAGCCCCCCTGTTCTGGATCAATAGTCTCAAGCTGACATTGTCTCCATCAACTCTGACTCTCCGTTCCTCTGCATCCATTGAGCCCTGGGCCTTGTCTCTTCCTCAGACTTGGCTTTAATGTCTGTCTCATATTCCTCCTCTGTTCCCCAAACTCTCAGGGCTCCTACTGCCTCTCTGAGTTCTTGGGCTGCTACACTGGATGGGACAGGACGTGTAAAGCTCCCAGCATGCCGGCAGGCCTGTAGGAAGCACCTGAGAGCCAGTTGCCCTGCTGCCGTGAGGAGGCACCGGGCGGGGGTGGGAGGGGGGTTGCCTCACACAGTTACATCTGACTTTGTTCACAGTTGGCCACAGTTCCACCCACAGTCTTGCAGGCCCAGGCACGCTGGGTGAACCAGCCTCTTTCTCCGTCACCATCTGACTCCCTCCTTGAGTGACTCATTCTCTCCTTCCATCCACAGTGTCTCTTTCTTCCAGCTCTCAGGCGCACAGCTGCCAGGGCCAGAGTGGGACCCCACCCTCCACAAAGCCTGGCCTACCTACACCACGTCCAACAAACTTCCCATTCTCTGCAGGGACCTGGCTGCTGGGCTGCAGCTGTCTAAAATGGACTGGAGCTGATGCCTCCTGACCTTCTTCCCCACAGGCGCCCAGATGTGCTCCTCACACTGGTGGAGTGCAGCATGAGGCTTTCTCAAGGCGGCGGGGTTCTAGTGGCTCATACGCCTTGGTGGGTTTGTGGGCTGGGTGGGCCCTGAACCCAGAGCCCAGTTCACCGGGTCTGTCTGAGCCTTGGGGTGTGCGAAGCATGGGGACTGGCCCGTGCTCCATTTCCACCCCTCCTGGTTCTGCCTTTGGTGTCCCTGGCACCTGCCATTGGGCCCCAGCCCTGTCCACCATGTCCTCCATGAGTCCTAAGTCTTTTGTGAGCGGCGTGGTCCGTGTGCACCTGTGTGCACGTGTGTGTGTGTGCGAGGGGGCACAGGAGTCTTGTCTCGTCTCCGTGCTGTGTGGGCAGATGAAGGTTGGCCTGTTTTTACTCTCTCTGTGTTTCTCCTTGTCTTTTTTTTATTCCCTCCTCATCCTCATCGCACTCTGCCATCAACCCAAACTCTCATCTCTCAGATCAGCGAGAAGGTTGGTCCTTTTCACTTCTTATCCATCTACAGTTCGCCCGTCGACGGGATGTTCCCGTCAGTTGGGACCAGCGGGCTTGGTCAGCTCCCTCAGACTCACTCCAGCTGTGCCTGCCCGCCAGTCGGCTCTGCTTGTCATTGGGTCAGCAGGCAGGCAGGACCAGGGATGGGTGGGTAGGTCCCCGGCCCTGCATGTTTCTGCTGCTTGAGTTCCTGATGCACCATGTGTCTGCATGTTCCCTTAGCGGGCTCCTCTGCTGGAGTGGTAGGGCAGGCATGGCGCATGGCATGAAACTGTGCCATCTTTGCACTTGAGCCAGGCCAACTATCTTCCAGGTGGTTGTGGGGGAGCTGTGTTTAGAGGAAGCTGTAAAGGCTGTAGTGTTTGACATATACTGGGGGTGGTGAGACTTTCTACAACCTCCTCACTTGTATACAGGCCACGTTTGCCTGTGCAAAGCCGGAACTACTGGTAGACAGAATGGGCTGTCCCTTAGAGATCTTGCAACACCAAACAAAAGTCCCATAATGTCTGCCTTGCCCTTGAGGACCCCAAAGCCCTTACCAAGGCTCAGTGAGGTAGACCAGGACTGGCTAGTCTGAAACAGAGGCCAGCACATCTCTGCCTCTGGAACAGGGCAAGTGGCATCATCTTGGCTCACTGAGGAAGTCTCCTTCATTGTTGTCTTTCTTCTCTCCAGCCAGATCGATTTTAAGGTCATGCCCTCCACCCAAGCCTCCCGGCACCCTTGTGTCTGTCTGAGGGTGGAATGTAGTTAGTTCAGCTAATGGTCCTTAGCCCTTGGTACTGGATGTTCAGACCCAAGTTGCTTACACCTAAAGTGACTGAGCAGTCAACTACAACTTAGCAAGGCCATGTGGGAGTCTAGAAATAGCCCCCAAGTTGGCCTCGTGTTGGGAAGGGCCTTCTGCAGACAACCCAAGCTCTTTCCAGAGCAGTTCCTTTGGGGCTCAGTTTCAGCTCCACCCTTTGAGCCAGTGCTGGGCTGGCAGTCATTCACATGTCACGTGGTCTTACAGGGTCGGTGGAGTCTCTCCTGTTCACTAGGCTTTGGGGGTTCAGGGCAGAAACATAGGACAGGCTGAGTGAGCCCCAGAGAGCAGACCTAAGTCACCTGTCCCCCCTGCATCATGCTCTGTGGCTTGAGTTTCCTCGGTGAGGGAGAGGGAGCCAGTCAAGAGGAGGACTGCAGCCTGGGCTCAGATATCAGCCCTAAGCATCCATCCATATGCACTCCCGAGCTCTGGGGCATTTCGGTTACACCATTTCGCTGACCATGCGGATCTGCCAGGGCGTTCAGAAAACAATTGTCGACAGACAGCCCAGCCTGCAGCCACTCTGGCCCCCCACCCCTTCACCCACTCTCTGGGTCCTTTATCCCTTCCCTTCCCCCATCCCACTCCCCACCCTGTGGTCCCACCAAAAATAAGCATAGACACAAATATTTAATGGGAAGGAGAAATGAGTTTCTAAATATTCCGGGGGGATTTGCCGGGCTGGTAATTTGTTTGGTGCTGATAATTGCATCTTACATTTTTCCAGCTTTACTTAAAACTGTGTGCCGGGTGCGCCAGCATTTAATTACTGCTCTGCGGCAGCCACAAGGTTATTTATTAAAGAGTTATTTTATCTTGATACAGTGGATCCTGCCCCTTATCCCCTCCTTAATGTTGTGTTATTTTCATCAGAGAAATTTCCGCGAGTGAATGCAGATTGCGGGGCTGCCTCCCCCTGCGATTAGGCTGTCACTCCACTGAATGCTGATGCCTCTGGGTGCCGCACCGCCCTATTATAGGGGGTTGTCAGTGCAAATAATTAGACTTAAAAGTTACATCTGAAATATAATCCAGAAATGGCAGGGCCCTGTTTTGGAAATTGTCTATAAAATGTCAGCACTAAGGATGCACGGGGAACAGTAATAGACCAGCATTGTTGGAGCCTGAGATTAGACCCTAAGTGCATTTTTCCCAGCTCCAGTTTTTCCTTCCCTGCTGTTGCTTCTGTCAATAGACTGAGTCCAGGGTGAGTCCTGCCTCTTTGGAGGCCTTGTGCTTGTGACAGCAGGAGGAGAATGGTGGGGTTGCTGCAGTGAGGCATCAGCCTCTCCTGGCTGTTGGCACGGGGGTGGCTATCTGAGCAGGTCTAGGACCCAGGGCCCCGTTGCCACTTGGGATACCAGGAGGTTGTCTCTTGCCCCTCTTTTCCCTACCCTTACCTCTGTGGACATGCTGACCTCTCCCAACACGTGGGATGAGATGTCTGAGCTCCAGGAAACCGCACTCCAGGATTCCTTGTATGTGACCAGAACCTGGTGCCCCTAAGAGAGTGGAGGTGGTACTCCTAGGGGCCTCTTGCTTGGTGCTAGGAATCACCTAAGGGTCATATCCAACCTCACCCTCATCTTGAAGTTTTTCCTATTACCTGCATCCAGGAGGGGGAAAATAAAAACAAAACCATTTGTAGTGTTATTTCCTTCAGGGAATCAATTTTCTGACAGTGGATGGAGTTGGAAGCTTTTGAAGGAGTGGCCCAGGAGATTGACACAATGTCCAGGGCCAGTTTACAAGGTCTGCATTTGGCCTGAAGACCTCATCCTCCAGGGACTAATTGGGGTTAAAGTCCATTCAAGTGTCCAGGCTGTTTAGGTTCCCGCCCAAGGTTTATTGGCCAAGGCCCTACTTTCTTTTTTTGGAGCTTTTGGTTTCAGCATCCAAGGACCCAATCTGGCTTCAGGATTCTACCACTGACCAGAGTCGAACTTTCAGCCATAACCTCTCCCCTGGCACAGGCTGTAGAAGCTCCACTCTCATGCCAGCTAGAGGCGCCTCTTGCCAGCCTTGGCTAATCCTGAAGCTTCTCCCCATAACCTTCTGGGCCTCTTTTCAGGCCTGTCAGCCAGGGCTCTAAAGGGTGTGAGCTTTTCACAACAAAAACCTACTCTTACTACATATATAAAGGTAGGCATGCCCCTTCAAGTGTTAGTGTTGTCTATCCTCTTGTCCATAATCAGAACGTGGCGACATGGGACCCTCTCCGCACACTAGTGCTCAAGTAGCTTCTCCTCAAACCTGTTTTCATGCCCCTCAGCAGGAGGAGATGGGACAGATACTGGCCAGGAGGACAGAGACCTGGTCAGCCTTAGCTACTCCTCTGGGCTGGACCCCTCCCTTCCTTGGCAGGCCTGGGCCTGGCCTGCACACAATCCTCCCTGTCTGTGCCTCACCTTCCAGCACCCGCCCCTGGGGCTGGCTCTGGAGCCCAGGGAGTGCCTGCACCCCAGGCTGGCGACAGTTCTGTCTGTCTTCTGGCCTCACCTTGTGCCAGTTGAAGGACGTGCTGAAAGGAGACTGTGTGTTGCTGTGAGGCACATTGCCAGCCACGCCCTAGACCCACCTGTTTGCCCTGAGAACTACTGTGTCTGTAACATGGTGTCGTCGTCATCAGTGTGGACTCCCAGCATTAGAACAGATGACAAAAAACAACTTATACCAAAAGCAGAACAGGGAGTCTCTGGTGTTGAAAAACTTTAAAAAAAAAAAAAAAAAAAAGAGTAGATTTGATGTTGGACAGGGCTGGAGCCAGGTGTTCATGAACAGTTTGGTCAGGCCTTTCTCTTAGCTTTATTCTTGCTGCTGACTTCTTTGTTCTCCAATAAATACTCCTCTGTGTGTTGAGAAAGGTGGTCCTGGCCTCTCCAAGCTTAGCTACCCTTGTAGAGAGAGAGTCTGCTGACAATTTATACAAACGTCCAAACACTGTTTCTTATTAAGCAGATCTGGGCCATACACTTCGTGTGCCACAGATAGGAGCTGAGATGGCTCACCTGTGGAAAATGAGAGTGGGGCTAGGGGTGGAGCTCAGTGGTAGAGTGCTTGTCTAGCACATGTGAAGCCCTGGGTTTGAATCTCAGCACCGGAAACAGGAATATAATATTGCTGATTCTGGGAGAAGGAAGAACTCTGGATATCTGCAAGACACCCAGAAACTCCACGTGAGCCTGGAGACAGACTCAGCCCATGAACTGATCATCAGGGCCTGCTCAGAGAACTGCTGGTGTTGTGGTTCTATCTGGAGGACTCCGATTGAGGCATGCTATGGGAGGAGTTGAACCAGGTGCCGAGCAAGATCTTCTTGTCCCCTAGTAGAGGAACATTGAGGAACCATGCAGGAACTTGGCAGGGGAGTGGACAATTCATGCTTTCCTGTCTGTGAAGGGCCAGTTGAAGGCAGGCAGAAAATGACATGGCAGGTGGATCAGTGAAGACTCCACTACAGTTACCCAGAGGGGAGAGAGTAGTGGCTTGGATTTGGTGGTGGCAGTTACCCATGTATTTGGACAGAAATAAATAGATTTGAAAGATATTTTAAGCAGCAGCATTAACAGGACCTGGTGACTTGCTGAACATCTTGGTTCTGGGTTTCAGTTTTGAACCCTGTGAGGTCAGAGGTGGGATCTGGTGATCTCTGCAGTAGCTTTCAGCTTGGATTCTGTGGTCTGGGGCTGGGTGAGGTGCTCCTGATGTGGTACCCCGGGTCCTCTGCATGCCTGGGATCTCCAGAAGGATCCTCAGAGGCCAGCACTCTTAAGTAGTACCCTTGAGTCCCTTAGCCTCACTGCCTGCCTTCTCCAACCCTGTGTGTAAGGGTGCCCATATAGGACACACCCAAGCCTCTGCCCACCAGCTGCACGACCTGTCTGCATGCCAAGCATGCCGTGCATGGCTAAGTCTTGTCTGTCTTCCCTCTCTCTGCATGCTCTGAATGTCTGCCAAGCTTGCGACTTCGGGGGTGGTTCCAGGATGCATCCTGGACTCAGAAGCTCAAAACAGCTTCTGGCCAGGGGAGTCCAAGGCTGGAGGTGGTGGCCAGGCACAGTCACCCTCCCCCTTGAGACCCTTGTTCACTGGCGCAGAGAGCCATCTGTTTGGCGCCTTCATCATGTTACTGCCATCGTCATGCCCATCCTGCCCGCGGACCACGTCCCTGGCCCGCCCCAGCCCCTTGCCCTGGCCTAGCCCTACTGAGAGGCAACCCTTCTTCTTGGGTCCCAGGCTGTACCTTAAGCACAGCCAAGGCCTAGCAGGTGGTCATTCACTTCCTCTTCTCTTCCTCTTGGGCCACAGCCTGGAGGTGGAGGCAGTGACTACATAGAAGGAGGCCATGTTACTCCCAGACTGACCCTCTGCCCTCCCCCAGCCATGCTCCAAGGACCCTCATCCCAGAGCCTGCATTTCTCTCACTGGTGTCCCAGCCACTCCCCCTGGAGACACATGGGGAGGTGGGTCAGGAGCAAGCAGGGGCAGCCACTGAGGGACAGCCTGAGTCATGGCCCTGGCCAGGTCTGGACCTTGTGCTAAACCTATGTGTGACCCTGGGCAGACAAGACTTTTCGGGGCCTCGGTTTCCCAGGCTGTAAAACAGGAGCTTGGTTGTGAGAGCTCTCATTAGGATATTGTGTTCCAGACGGTCCCTGAGAGCAGGGCTACCTCTAGCCCCAATGCACTGTGGGAGATGGCGAGCCAGGGCCCAGTGATGGCACCCCTCCTGTTTCTGAGTGTGGGCTTGGCTCTGACAAGGGGGACTTCCTGGATGAGGGGCCCCTGCCCTTTCATCCACCCTCGTGTCCTGCCTGGCCTGTGAGTGCCTCTCTCCCTCCTCCCGCAGTGCGCCGTGTGGCTCCTCGTTTCTCCATCCCTCCTAGCAGCCAGGAGGTGATGCCAGGTGGCAGTGTGAACCTGACTTGTGTTGCGGTGGGTGCACCCATGCCTTATGTGAAGTGGATGATGGGGGCCGAAGAGCTCACCAAGGAGGATGAGATGCCTGTCGGCCGCAACGTGCTGGAGCTCAGCAATGTTGTGCGCTCTGCCAACTACACCTGTGTGGCCATCTCCTCGCTGGGCATGATTGAAGCCACAGCCCAGGTCACAGTGAAAGGTGAGTGTAATGGATGCTCTGGTGGCTAGTGCCCTGCCTTGTTGCAGAGGACTCTAGGAGACCCTGGTGTCTGTGACAGGTGAGTATGAGCTGGCTTCTGGGGAAACATCCAGGGCTTTAGATGGCATTACCATTTCCTGAGTGCCCTAGCCATGGAGTCTTCTGGGTTCTGGGAAGTAGGAGGGATTTCTGTTATCTATAATCTGAATGAGAATAGCTAGCATGCCTTGAGTACCTGGGTGGCAGGATCATGCTAGTAAGCATTTTATTTTGCTTTGTTTTTTAATTGCTCTGAGAGATAGATGCTCTTATTATCCTAGTTTTATAAGTGAGAAAATTGAAGCACAGAGAGGCTATGTCATTTGCCTAGGGTCAAACAGGAGGAGCAGACAGCACAGGAATGTCAGTTGTGGTGGTCTAAATCTACAGCCCACCTCCATAACCACTACATACCCTGGAATCAAACATTCCCAGCAAGAAGGTTATAGAAATGGTAGCTAAGCAGCAAGGAGTGGGTTCACTCTGCCTGGGGCATTGGGCACAGACACATGTATGTAACATGTATATAACACTTATGTAAGGGATTCCTGCTTGGTCTATTATTTGCTTCTTCTCTGATCCATTCTCTATTCTGTGACTTGGGTTTTTTTAGTTGTTGATGGACCTTTATTTTATTTGTTTTTATGTGGTGCTGAGGATCTAACCCAGTGCCTCACACATGCAAGGCAAGCACTCTACCTCGGTACCATAACCCCAGCCCTTGTGTGTGTTTTTTAAAGATATAAACCAGTATCTTATTATCCTCCCTCTTTTGGAGTCAGAACACTGTGCATGCTAGGCAAGTGCTTTACCACCAAGCTGTACCCTAGCTCCATGTCGTTTGCTTTTAAAAAAAGAGAGAGAGCTTTCAGTGGCTTCCATTGCTCTCAGGATATATAGATCAGGATCCTCACTGTGGTCCCCCAGGGCCTATTGGCTGCCAGCTTGATAGTTCTCTCACTGGAATGTAAGCTCCATGAGAGCAAGGCTGCAGCAGCATGGCATAGTGGCTCCAGAGCAATGCTGGCCTTGGTGGGTATCATCTATTCATTGAAAGTGTGGACCTGGGACATATTTAAACTAGGGCATGGGGTCTGTTAGGGCTAGTGGCTCCATCACTCAGGATAATCTCCCCTGCCCTCCTTCTGTCACACATACTTGCCACTGGTGTGTGCAGGTGAGCTCAGAGGCAAAGCTCTGCTACCTGGTCTGGATGCTTTTCATCCACGGGCAACTTCAGAGTCCCCTTGTCACCTCTGGGTCTGTTTTTTAGGTGAATTGGGGGGGCCTATATGGGACTGCAGTGAGTATGAGTCTCAGGCATGACATGTTACATACTAAATGACCCCAAGCCCTGGGAGCACTAACAGGCCTAGTTATGGTCCCTAACTAGGTGCCCTCAGAGGTCATTGTGAGCTTTTCAGGCCATTATTCAAAGTGGGATATATTCTGGTGTCCATACTAGGTGGTCTTAGATGATGCCCAAGGTTATGATTGGTTCCTGGGGTCACAACCTTAGGCAGCCCTGAGTCATCTGCTTTGTCCCCAGCTTTGCCGAAGCCTCCGATTGATCTTATGGTCACAGAGACAACTGCCACCAGTGTCACCCTGACCTGGGACTCTGGGAACTCAGAGCCTGTATCATACTACGGCATACAGTACCGTGCCACTGGCACAGAAGGCCCCTTCCAGGAGGTGGATGGTGTAGCCACCACCCGATACAGCATTGGTGGCCTCAGCCCTTTCTCAGAATATGCCTTTCGTGTGTTGGCGGTGAACAGCATCGGGCGAGGGCCACCGAGTGAGGCCGTGCGGGCACGCACGGGTGAGCAGGCACCCTCCAGTCCTCCACGTCGTGTGCAGGCCCGCATGCTGAGCGCCAGCACCATGCTGGTGCAGTGGGAGCCACCTGAGGAGCCGAACGGCCTGGTGCGCGGATACCGTGTCTATTATACTCCAGACTCCCGCCGCCCCCTGAGTGCCTGGCACAAGCACAATACTGATGCAGGGCTCCTCACCACTGTGGGCAGCCTGCTGCCTGGCATCACCTACAGCCTGCGTGTGCTCGCCTTTACTGCCGTGGGTGATGGCCCACCCAGCCCCACCATCCAGGTCAAGACGCAACAGGGAGGTAGGTTGGGGTGTCTGCTGACTGGACAGCCCACTGCAGAGGTGGGGTGAGCTGGGACTGTGACAGGCTGTGCGGCTGGGAGTGGGTAAAGGTGCCCTATTCCATAGATATGTGGTCACTTGGGATGCAGGACAAGAGTGTGAGAGTGAAGCTTGCTTTCCTGGGCGCCCGTGCTGTTGGGGGTGCGGCGAGGCTGACAGTGCCTGGGGTGGGGTGTTGCAGTGCCTGCACAGCCCGCGGACTTCCAGGCTGAGGCTGAATCGGACACCAGGATCCAGCTTTCATGGCTGCTGCCCCCGCAGGAGCGGATCATCAAATATGAGCTGGTATACTGGGCAGCAGAGAATGAAGGCCAGCAGGTGAGCCACAAGGCTGGGAAGGGCACAAGGTGGAGGGGGCTCCTCCTGGTCAGGGAGTCTAATTGGCTCACCCAGGCAAGATTTTTTGGGTTCTGTGGCTCACATGAGCATATCCTCTAGGGTTTCTCCTTGGAGTTTTGACTCACACTGCCTGTGTGGTTCTGTAGGCTTTGCCATCCCTGTGCTTCAAGTCTGCCATTGGATCTCCTAGGCTCTGTGACTCAAATGACCTTGACACAGCTCAGACGTTTCCTTGGGGTCACGTGGCCCATGTCTGTGAGGCACTGGTGGCATGGGCCAGCCATGCTTTTCTTGTAGGGTCCACATGACCTGTGTGGAGCCAGTCCTGAAGCCACAGTGTGTCCCCAGGTGCAGGTTGCAGCCTGCGTGGGGAGCAGCATCTGGCCTTGGAGGTCAGAACAGTCAGTGAGTGCTCCCTGCTCTTCCAGCACAAGGTGACCTTCGACCCCACCTCCTCCTACACTTTAGAGGACCTGAAGCCCGACACGCTGTACCGCTTCCAGCTGGCTGCCCGCTCAGATGTGGGTGTGGGCGTCTTCACCCCCACCATAGAGGCCCGCACAGCACAGTCCAGTAAGTGTCTTCTGAGATTACTGCCTGTCACCTCTTGCTGGGGGGCACACAACACACATACCCTTCCCTCTTGATCAGGTGGGTGGTCTACTCTGATGGGTCTAGCACATAACTCTGGTCTGGGCTCTTAAGTCTGGACCCCAAGAATGAGACAGGTAAGTGCCCTTAGTCTGTATCCAGGTGGTGGCTGTTCCCCCTGCTCCCTGCCCAGCCTTTTGACCCTCACCTGCCCCTGTACCCCCTCACCCAACCCAGGTAAGTTCTATGTCTGTGACTCACTCCATCCTCCATCCCGCTCACACTGGGTCACACTAGTGACTTGGTGGGCCAACCATGTCCCAGACTTGTTTTGGTGGCTGTCTTCCCTCCCTATGTCCCCACATCTCATCCACCCCATCCCCTTCCTCATAACCTCACCATGAGAGTTACCATGAGCTGTATAATACCTCTGAGCCTACTGCACTTGGGGACAGGTCTGTGACAATGTGTTTTAGAGACAGAATGTGCCCCCATGTCTATGTGTGGGACCACAACATTCCCATGACAACTGATTGGCATTATGTTTTATTGTATTCTGCCTGTGTGAGACTCTGACAGTGTGACTGCATGTGAGATACCACCTGACCATCTGGCTGTGCAGCCCCTTTATGTATGTCAGTATATCCTGGATGTGGCTCCCTGTGACTCCGTGGTGACCCTGTGACCATGTCTGAGGGTCTCTGGAGCTCTCTAGATGACAGACTGAGATAGCATGTGTGTAACTCTATCTGTGTTCACCCAACAAGAATGGGCCACTGTATCAAGGCTTTCTATTTGATAAGATGGCAGTGGGTGTGACTGGCTGGGCACCATGGGACTTAGTGACCACATGTAATGACCATAAATACGCAGTGTCTGTGAAGTCTTTATGATGTGGGACTGTACATAACAACCAGTGATGTCCAGAGGCTGACTGTGACCTTGTGATCGTAGATTCATACTAGAAGCGTCTAAGTGCTGCTGGGGTCCAGGCCCCAGGCATAGTGCAGACAAAGGTGGGAGCCAGCTGGGGAGCAGGAGCAGTGAGCATGGCAGCCGACAGGCTGGGAAACCGGGAGGGCAGATGATCAAGGATGAGCAGGAGACTATTGTAGCCAGAGTAGCTGCTAGAGCCATAGCAGTCCAGCCCTAGGGACAGAGGACTGGCTCTGGCTCTATGAGAATGGACAAGACAGATTGAGATGAAGCAGAAGACCACTTAGGAGGTTTTGCAGTAGTCTAGGCAGAAGGTAAAGGGGCTCAGATGAGGTGGTGTGGCAGATTAGAGAGATCTCTGGGGTGCCAGCTGGCCCGGATTTGATAATGAATAACATGAGGGGGGGTTGAGGGAAAGAGAAGCAGAGGTTCATCTTATTACTGGTTTGAGAGTCCTACAAGAAGAGTGCCACCACCGGAATAGCAAATGGACAGACCAGGTTTGAAGAGTATGTCTGGTTTCAGACATCCAAGTTCAAGATGCCACATGCTAGCCAAGTTGGGGTACATGGCCGGTCCTGGGATGGAAGAGGACCTGAAAGACGGAAGTGGGAGGAAATCTAGAGAGAAGTGGTTTGGAGATTACAAGAAAAGGAAGTTTCAAGCGGTAAACCAGAGGCTGCTATGGAGTGGCCAGGAAAAGGAACGCAGGCCTTCCTGCTGGATCTGGTGGTGTGGAAGAGTGGGCCTGGATGAAAGTTGTGGCATTGTGAGGACTGTGTGGGAGGTGAGGAAGTAGGACAGCAAGCTCAGATGCTGTCAGGAAGCTCAGCAATGAGGGGGACCGTGGTAGCCAGAGGAGGCTGTGCACTGAGGATGATGTCTTCTTTTAAGATGGGAAAATTTCAAGCATATTTAAATATTATTGGGAGAGAATCAATAGAACAAAATAGGAAGCTTAGTAAAAGAAGGGTAACTGGTGGAGTCTCAGGAGATGGAGGGAAAGTAAGGGCAGACATGGGTGATGGGAGACCATGGCCTCAGTGTGGCATGAAAAAATAGGTGCAAATGCACATAGGTGGGTGGCTCTGGTAGCAAGAAATGACAGGAGCTGCTAATGGAAGGCATGGTCACATGCTGGCAGGCAAATGGGGCTAAAGGTTTGGGGTGTGTGGAGAACGTTGATTGGGTCCCATGCCAAGTAGCAGAGTGAGCCCATAGAGAATAGACACCAGCAAGCAGCACAGAGGTCCTCAGGGAGACCACTAGGGACAGGCTCCTGGGCAGCAGCCTCCGTGGAGAGGTGGTTTTTTTGTTTGTTTTATCTGCTCTGGTGCTGCCTCAGAGAAGGCAAAGAGTTGTCCTCTTACAGCTTGGTGTGGGCCGGGTCGAGATGGAAAGATGAGGAAGTGAGAGAGTTTGGGATATTGGTGAGAGTGGTGAGCTGGTGACCTTGGAGTTGAAGCTGGATAATAAGGGCAGCAAGGATGGCAGTGGGGGGCTGGGGATGTGGCTCAAGCGGTAGCGCGCTCGCCTGGCATGCATGCGGCCCCGGTTTGATCCTCAGTACCACATACAAACAAAGATGTTGTGTCCGCCAAAATCTAAAAAAAAAATAAATATTTAAAAAATTCTCTCTCTCTCTCACTTTCTCTTTTAAAAAAAAAAAAAAGGATGGCAGTAGATGGATGGTGGTCTGAGGGCTGAAGAGTCATGCTGGGGGCCTGGGGACAGCTAAGCTGGAACAAGAGGTGGGGTCTGCAGGGGAAGATAGAAGTTTGGAGGTAGGGTCCTTCCCAGCCCTGGCGATGTACAAGGCAGGGCCATAGCCATGCAGGGGAGAGGAAAGCCCTAGAGATAAGGGGCTCTGGAGCCAGTGAGTCAAGGAGCTGCTAAAGTCACCCAGACACAGGGGTAGTGACAGAACTTGAGATAGAGAGGAAGCCTCTGCATTGGCAGCAGTTTCCTCAGTGGACATACGATCTGGAAATGTAACTGGGCATGTCATGGACACATCTGCCTCCTGAACCCCAAGGAACCTGTCGGGTGACAGCACCTCCACTAGGTACTTTTTCTCTAAACCCCAGGGGCTGCTGGCCTTCTGCAAGACCGGAGCTGAATTCTCCGTATTCTGATGCACACTGTGCATGTGTTGTGCAGACAGCATATGTATGGGACAGACGCTGTTAGAACTCCATATGCATGTGTGAGACACTGTGTGAGTGAGACAGGAGAGAGCCCATCATAGTTCAAAGAGAGTCAGGCTGTCCTCTTGACAATGTGGCAGTCTGTCTAGAGGGACCCCCATGATGGCCCTGAAGTAGCCTGTCAGGGTGAGTCTCCCATCCACTATGACTTGGTCACCATGCCTGTGATTCCCCACCCTCCATCTGCCTGCTTTCCTCCCATTTGTCTTCCCCAGCCCCCTCCGCCCCTCCCCAGAAGGTGACATGTGTGAGCACGGGTTCCACCACGGTCCGGGTAAGTTGGGTCCCACCGCCAGCGAACAGCCGCAACGGCATTATCACGCAGTACTCCGTGGCTTATGAGGCGGTGGACGGCGAGGACCGCGGGCGACATGTGGTGGATGGCATCAGCCGTGAGCATTTCAGCTGGGACCTGGTGGGCCTGGAGAAGTGGACGGAGTACCGGGTGTGGGTGCGGGCACACACAGATGTGGGCCCTGGCCCGGAGAGCAGCCCGGTGCTGGTGCGCACCGACGAGGACGGTAGGTGGTGGTGGCAGGAGGAAGGGCGGGGGAGGGGAGGCACAGTGCCTCAGACACCACCTACCAAGCACCCAGGGCCTTTCCTTTTCAAGCCCCTGCAGATGCTTGTCTCCTGGTACAAACTTTGTGGCCCACACTGGGGAAATGTAGCTGATGAGACAACCCATGCCTAAGTCCCAAATTTTGGGCTTTCCCCAGAGCATCTGAAGTCTTTAAAATACTATGGTAGGAGAAGCAGGCCCACCTAAGATTCAAGAGGTCAAAACTAGGAAGATTGCTGCAAAAGACTCTCAAAGTAGAGTCAGCGTAACTCAAGCTTGGCTGGACATTGGCATAATGTGGAGGCCCAGGAAGAGTTGGTACAGGTTGTGCTGACTTTGAGATAGCTAAAGGCCTGGTGCCTCACCTCCACCTATTCCCTCACATCTTCTCTCCTCCCAAATGAGGTAGCCCTGCCAGAGGGGTTGGCTCCTCCCTGTGGCAGGGAGTGGATTCTTCACCAGGATAGACGCCCTAAGGAAATGACATTAGGTCTTTTCCTGGGAGAGAGGGGTGCAGAGGCAAGGCCCTGGAGTTTGCTGTGCCCACCTGAGCCAAGATCAGTACAACCAGGTCTGACTTCCTTTTCTACTTGGCCCCCAGTGCCCAGTGGGCCACCAAGGAAGGTGGAGGTGGAGCCGCTGAACTCCACTGCCGTGCATGTCTCCTGGAAGCTGCCTATCCCCAGCAAGCAGCATGGCCAGATTCGAGGCTACCAGGTCACCTATGTGCGTCTAGAGAATGGCGAGCCCCGAGGTCCACCCATCATCCAAGATGTCATGCTGTCTGAGGCCCAGGTGCGCCATTGTGTGGTGGTGGGTGGAAGGGTGAACAGCGACCAGCATACACTGCTTTCCATTTGGAGCCCAGATGTGCTTCCTACCCCTGCCTGTCCTCAGGGGTGCTATGTCTGCCTTTTCTGGTCATGGCACCAGAAATATACTACTGCAGCAGGGGTGAGGGCACTGGCACTGGGAGGTGAGGGCCAGATTCCACCTTCTCTCTCTGTCTTAGGGCTGCCCAGACTGTGCCAACCTAAGTCCTGGTAGGAGTCTCAGTGGTTTAGCCACAGCCCTCACAGTGAGGGGCTCCGTCTCCACAGACCCCAGGCCTTTGTGGTTTGCAGGAAGCAAATGCAGTGTGGTGGTTGGACTGGACCTTGCAGATTCAATTTCCTTCCAGGCGGTGCTGTGTAAGGTATCCACTCTGCCACAACCAGAGGTAGATAGCGGCTTTTGAGGCTGTTATTCCTACCCCCTTTGGCCATAGGCCAGTGGCCAACGCCAATCTCTGAATGGACAAGCTGAGTGTTACTGTGCTCCTGACCCCCATGAGGAAGACCCAGACCCTGATGTTTCCCTCAGGGGCAGGGCCTGCCAGCTAACCTCCCTCACACTAACCTATGTGAGTGTCTGTTCTCTTGAGAGTGATGGTGATGGTTCCGCCCATGAGCTTGGGGTGAGGTCCCTGGGGTATTCTAAGCACTAGTTTGCTATTACGATGAAGAATATACAGCACCAAGAAGCTATGTGAGTAGCCAGAATTACCAAGCAAGTGGGTAGCTGAACTTGAATAAACAAGTCTCTGAACTACTGGAAAAAGACTGCAATTGTCCTGACATAGTGGCACATGCCTGTAATCCCAGCAGCTTGGAAGGCTGAGGCAGGAAGATCCCAAGTTCAAAGCCAGCCTCAGCAACTTAGTGAGGCCCTAAACTCCTTAGTGAGACCCTGTCTCAAAATTCCAAAAATTAAAAGGGCTGGGGATGTGGCCCAGGGTTTAATCCCTGGTAGGAAAAACAAAAGAATTATAACTACTGGTGTGGTCTGCTGTCAAGATGTTTCCATCCAGAATCGGGACCTGGGCCAGTGCTAAGCCAGACCTAGCAGGAGGAGCTTGGAGTCCCTCCCTGTGCAGCTTCTCACCTCTCCATGGGATTACAGCAGGGATATGAGCGTATACTCCACGCTGTGTGGGTTTCACTGAAGTGTAGGCTCACCCACTACAACCTCCAGTTTGGCTCATCCCTCTGAGGCAAAATTCCTTTCTACCCTGAGGGTCCTTTCCTCCTCTTAGCATGTCCCCTGCTGAGGGACCAAAGTGGTAGAGGGTGGGGTGTGTGTTCCCCCTGCATTCCTAGGGCAGGTTAAGGGCTCCTCAGGAAGCCTCAGCAGACACACCCACCTAGAAACATCCCAGGAATGGTCTCCCTCAAGCCCCTCCCATCCTAGAGGGCCACCATCACAGCTGGGGCCAGCACCGCAACTGAAGCCAGTAGGGTTTCAGAGCAGTCATTTAGGGTGCCCCCTTCTGGTCCCAAACTGTTTGGAAGGGAGCTGGACCAGAAGATAGGAGCACTATCCTCTTAACCGTATGGGGAGTACACCCGGGCAAGGGAGACCACTAAAGACAGGTCTTGCCCTTGCCACCCCCTGGGTATGGTCATTTTGCTCCAAGCCAGTAGGAGAGCAGATGGGGCCTGGTCTGCAGCCTGGCCACAGGACCCAGCTGTCCTTTCTGCTTCCCTGTCAAGGACACAGCAGCCTGTTCTTCTCTACCCAGCAGCACCATCTGCTCAGCCCAGGGCCCCCATCAGTACAGAAAGAACGTTTGATACATATGCCCCTGACCCCTGAGTGTACAGCCAGATCTGTCTCCTGTGTTGATTCTGTGTCAGGCTTGTCGCTATTTTGGTTTTTGTTGTTGTTTTTTTGTTTGTTTGTTTCTTCTTCTTCTGGGGATTAAGCCCAGAGCCTTACAAATGCTAGGCTAGTGCTCTGCCACTGAACTGCAGCCCCCAGCCCCAGGCTTGTTGCTATTTCTGATGGTTTCTGACTCCATCTCATTGTCTTCTTTTGTCCCTTTTTCATGGTCTCTGTCCTCACTGCTCTGGTTTTTCCAGCTCAGCCTCTTCCCTCTCCTCTCTCCCTTTCTCCTCCTGCCACTTCTCTGTTCCCTGCCTTGTCTCTGACTCCATTTTATTTGACCCTCTCCTTCGCTTTCCCCTCACTCTGCCTCTGACATGTGAGAACGCCATGTGCAGGCCTGGCCTAGACAGCTCAGGCCTCCCTGCAACAAGGAAATGGGAACAGAGCCCAGCCCCACCCTGCAGAGTGGCCTTAACTGTTAGGAACCTATCAAGAATCTTCCCATACTGTGTTCCAAAGACTTTGCAGTAGAGCTTGCCAGCACAGGAGGAGTGTAGGTCAACTCTGTGAGGGTGGCCAGGCTGGGGGGCCCCATGGCTTCTGTAGCCTGGAGGTACTGTAAATCATCTTCCTGTGCCATGCTTTATTGGCCTGCCCTTGGCCCTCCAGAATCACAGACTCTCAGTACCCCTCTAAACCACCTACATGCACCAACGGACTAAAGGATTTACTAAGAAATTTAATAAGAAATCGCAACACTGCCAGCCCTAGAAACTGGCTGGCCTTCCTAGCTCAACGCTCAGGCACCCACAGAAGGGAGCAGGTGTGTCAGGGGCTCCGGTGCCTGTGGGCAGTGCCCAGGCTCTAAGCTGAACACTCATGACTTTCATAATCTTGCTAGCTAATCTGCCCCTTGACCCACCCCAGCCACCATGCATCTCTTATGTTCTGGGATGTTCCTTATACTCAGGTGGCTATAATTTGTTGTTCCAACTTTGAGAGTGGAAAGAGGCCTTGATTAATCATACCAAGACACATGTAGACTGGAACTACCAAGCTGTGTCGTCATCCAACTCACCCGTCAGTCTTTTCCCTACTCTCTGCCTGTGCTCTCAAACCCACCCCACACCCATAGCCTCTGCTGCAGAGGGTCTCTACCTAGAGTTCTCTGACCCTAAGTTTCAGCTCCTCCACCGCTTCGGGCTGTCTGCCCTCCAGGATTCCCAGCCCTTGTCTGCGTTCAATGAGGCAGGGACTTGAATCTTTTGGATGGGAATTTGTCCTGGGCTGCTACTCCTATGGGCACTTCAGAGGTCCAAGGCCTCTATCTGTCCTCCATGGGCCAGGACCTCTCCAGGCCAGAATCCTTCACCATCCTGTCTCCCTTTTTCTCCCTCTCCCACGGTCAGTGGCGGCCAGAGGAGTCCGAGGACTATGTAAGTAACAGGTGTGCGAGCGTGGGCAAGATTGGGTCAGGCTGGGCTCATGGGACACTCCCCCTCTCCCTTCTCTCCTCCCAGCCTGTGTTGCCAAGATCCACAGGGCACCAACCACATCTGGAGAAAATTGGCGTTTAGATACGAGCACCAAGCTGAGCAGCGATTGGCGTTTCCTCTAATCCTTACTTCTCGCCTGTCGAGCAGCAATTTGAAGCCAATGTTCATGATCGACCAGGGCCTGGCCCCTGCTCTGGCCAGACAGGGATGGAGTTAAATCCAATCCTGATCGTTAGGCCTTATTGATCCTGAGTGAAAAATCACCTGCTTAGGGCGCAGGCTGGGACAAGAGTCTAGGGAGCTGGGTCGGGCATTGGTGCTGCTGGAGCCCCAGCCCTGGGAGACCCTCCAGCTGGGGCAGGAAGAGGCCTGTGAGGGGCTGTTGGTAGTTGCCATGACTCCACCTGAGGCTCAGAGCTGGAGGGACACCAGGGTTGGTGGTGGCAGCCCTATTCCCACTGCACGGTGGTCCCCTCTCTTCTTCCCACTCTTCTCCCTGTGTGGCGTGGCTTGGTCCCCCTGTGCTATTTCTCCGCATGTCCAGAAACGATGCCTTTGCTGGAAATGGGTGTATGGGTAGGATCTTCCAAGGTGGGAAGACATGCCCTGGCTTACTTCTTAGGAATCAGTGGGAACATGGGAAGCGAGTCCCCCAGGTGTAGGGGAGCTCCTTGTCTTCTTCTTGTCTTTCCTTACTCCCTCAGGTGTAGGGTGTTGCAGGGAATAGTTGTTCACAGAGTCAGTGGCCCAGGGGTGGTGAGCTGTGATCCTGACTAGTAGGGTGGGGCCCCTCCACCCTGGTGTGTGTGTGTGTGTGTGTGTGTGTGTTCTTAATGTCCGCAGGTGTGTGCAGGCAGAGCTGTAGTCTCTGCATGTGAGTGCCAGTAGCCATGCAGGTGCTGGGTATGTGTGAGGTTCTGCCCTGTGAGAATGTGTGCAGGGCCCTCTTGAGGTGCCATTTACAGCATGACAGAGTTGAGGAAACAGCATGGCCCTTTGTTCTTGTCTGAAAGGAAGAATGATCAGTCTGTCCCAGGCCTGTGGCTCCTGGAATGGGTGGGATCCTCTCGGCCCTCATTCTACCTGGCTGCCCTACCTCGGCAGTCTAGCATTTCACAGCCTAACCTCCCAGGACCTCTGGCCCTGTGTGCCTGGGGCCTCCCTGCAGGCTAGGGTCCTGAGGTAGCTGACACAGTCTGACCTCTTCTGATGGGAACGGCCCTCCTCCTCCCTCAGGAAACTACCATCAGCAGCCTCACCCCAGAGACTACCTACTCCATTACTGTCGCTGCCTACACCACCAAGGGGGATGGTGCCCGAAGCAAGCCCAAAATTGTTACAACCACTGGGGCAGGTGAGTGAGGGGTCAGGGGCAGAGCTGAGGGTGGGCATTGGAGAGGGCAGCACCAGAGCCCAGTGCGTGGTTGTTTAGTCCCAGGCCGACCCACCATGATGGTCAGCACCACAGCCATGAACACGGCGCTACTTCAGTGGCACCCACCCAAGGAGCTGCCTGGTGAGCTGCTGGGCTACCGGTTGCAATACCGCCGGGCCGATGAGGCGCGGCCTAACACCATAGATTTTGGCAAAGATGATCAGCACTTTACAGTCACCGGTCTGCACAAGGGGGCCACCTACATCTTCCGGCTTGCTGCCAAGAACCGGGCCGGCCCAGGCGAGGAGTTCGAGAAGGAGATTACAACCCCTGAGGATGTGCCTAGTGGCTTTCCCCAAAACCTACGAGTGACAGGACTGACCACGACTACCACCGAATTGGCCTGGGACCCACCAGTGCTAGCAGAGAGGAATGGGCGCATCACCAACTACACTGTGGTGTACCGTGACATCAATAGCCAGCAGGAGCTGCAAAACATCTCTGCTGACACACACCTTACTCTGTCTGGCCTCAAGCCGGACACCACTTATGACATCAAGGTCCGTGCACGTACCAGCAAAGGCGCCGGTCCACTCAGCCCCAGTATCCAGTCCCGGACCATGCCTGTGGAGCAAGGTGTGTGCTGTGGGCATGGCAATGCCTGCCCAAATGTGGCTACGCCTGGGGACCTCTGCTCTCTTGACCCACTGACCTCTGGCAACTGTGATCCATCAGCCTCTGCTGTGTGACCCCTCAATTTCTCATGACCGTGACTACTAATCTCTAGTGAACAGGCACCATGTTTTTGGGTGTGAGACCCCTGACTTCTGCTGTCCTTGACCTACTGACCTGCTGCGTGACCTTTCAATTTCTTGTGACTTTGACCCACTGATCTCTTTGAATCCATCACCATTCTTTGGTGTACAGCCTACTGATCTTTGGTTTATAGCACTAATCTCTAAAACCCACTGACCTCTAGTGAACATGCTCCACCGTGCCCTGGTATGGCCATGTGCTTCTCACGACCATTATCCACTGACACCTGGCCTCTAACTTGGTGTCTGTGAGTTCAAGCTTTTACCCATGCTCTTCTGGAGATTTCTGGCAATTGGTGCTGTAGCATCCGCTACCCTGTTCAGTGCTCACTGTGGAAGAGCTTGGGCTGGGAGTTGAACTGTGCCATTTGAAGCTGGCTGGGAATGGGGGTGCTTGGTTCTCTGAAGCTGTTCCTAAACCCCTATTTCCCAATAATGTCTCATCCTCTGGCTCATTCACCCCACTCCAGATAGCCAGCAAGAGCTGACTTCCTCCTTGTGCCTCCACAGTGTTTGCTAAGAACTTCCGTGTGGCAGCTGCAATGAAGACATCTGTGCTGCTCAGCTGGGAGGTCCCTGACTCCTACAAGTCTGCTGTGCCCTTTAAGGTGGGTAAGGGCCACAATCAGCCAGACCACCCCACACAGGCCTTCTGTGTGCTATCATTCATTCCAATTCCCAGTCCACGTGTGCATGTGTCTGAACTGGGTCTGGTTCACATCCTGTGCCTTGTAGGCGCACGGTAGGAACCTCACTCAGGCACTGCCAAGCTCCCCCTCTCATCTCCTGCAGATTCTGTACAATGGACAAAGTGTGGAGGTGGATGGGCACTCGATGCGGAAGCTGATCGCAGACCTGCAGCCTAACACAGAGTACTCATTTGTGCTGATGAACCGTGGCAGTAGTGCGGGAGGCCTGCAGCACCTGGTGTCCATCCGCACGGCTCCTGATCTCCTGCCACACAAACCGCTGCCTGCTTCTGCCTACATAGAGGATGGCCGCTTTGCCCTCTCTATGCCTCAAGTGGAGGACCCCTCACTGGTCAAGTATGCAGGGGCTGGTGGCAGGAGTAGGGCATGGATGCAGGCTGCTGTTGATGGCTGTACTGATTCCTGCTCTGCCCACGCAGGTGGTTCTACATCGTGGTGGTGCCCATTGACCGTGTGGGTGGAAACATACTCACACCAAGATGGAACACACCTGAGGAGCTGGAGCTGGATGAGGTGCCTGGGGGAGGGGACTGGCACTAATGATACCCCATGCAGTTTGGCAGTAGCCACCTTGCCCTGAGTGTATCCTAGTGGACTCTCTTGGGTCCCCTACCCCAATTGAAATCACTCTTGTGACTGCTCTGGCTGGCAGCCTGTCTTCTCCCTAGAGAGAGGGACTCTACAGGAAAGCCCCTGAGAGTATTCAGAGACTCCTGGAAGACTGTGGAGAATGCCTGGGAAGTGTTTGGGGAGAATCCCCTGTGGTGGGTAACAGCGGGGATGTTTCCATAGCTATAGTCTGAGCTCCGTAGACTTTCAAGAATCCTACATATATGGAGACCATGGAGAGGTTGGAATGAGCCTTAAGCTTGTTTTCCTGGGATACGTGAAGTCTTCTATTCTCTCCTTACAGCTTATTTGGAAACTGTCTCTCTGGTTAGGATGAGATTCCCATAAGGCTTCTCATGGGCTGGCGGGAGGGGTATCATTGTGGTATCTGGCATTATTATGTACCTGCAGTGGCCAGGCCATGGCCCCAGGCACAGCATGCTTAAAGACCCTGTGTGACTCTGTGCTCTGTTTTGCCAGCTTCTGGAAGCTATTGAGCAGGGTGGTGAGGAGCGGCGGCGGCGGCGGCGGAGACAGACAGAGCGGCTAAAGCCGTATGTAGCTGCTCAGATGGATGTGCTCCCCGAGACTTTTACCCTGGGGGACAAGAAGAGCTACCGAGGCTTCTACAACCGACCCCTGTCTCCAGACCTGAGTTACCAGTGCTTCGTGCTTGCCTCCCTGAAGGAACCTGTGGATCAGGTCTGCCTGAGCCAGCTTGGCTCTCAGCACCCAAGACCCCAGACCTGACCCAAGACTAGGCCAGTCTCAAACATGAGGAGACCCCAGGTCTAGGTGGCCCCTGAGATCTAAGATGTGTACTAAGTTTCCCAGAACACTAGGTGGCAAGACCCAAAAGGCCAGACCCGATTTGGCCCAGGAACCCTATCCTGCTGCCCAGCCTCAGGTCAACCTCTTAGGGTTTAGAAAACCAGGCCAGGGCCAGCCCAGTGTAACCCAGCCCCAAGCACCTTCTCTGCAGGTTTGATGGGCAGAGGGTGGGTTTGATGGGCTGAGCTCACCGCCTGTGCTGTTCCTCTGCTGCGCCACAGAAGCGCTATGCCTCCAGCCCCTACTCGGATGAGATCGTGGTACAGGTGACACCAGCTCAGCAGCAGGAGGAGCCCGAGATGCTGTGGGTGACAGGCCCCGTCCTGGCAGTCATCCTCATCATACTCATTGTCATCGCCATCCTCCTGTTCAAGAGGTGAGTGCTGCGCTCAGGGACCCTGGGGACAGTGCCTGCCCCTCACCTCGAAGGCCCTTTCTGAGTACAGTGCATTGGAGTAAGTGCAGCCATCCCAATCTGGCCTCTGGCCCCCCAGGCACAGTGGGAAACCAGGATGGGCAGCAGCATCTGTGTGTGTGTGCACCTGCGGCTGCTTGTATGCACCTGTCTGGTGGGGAGCCTCTGTGTGCCTGTCAGCCTGAGTGTGAAGAGGGGCTGAGGATCTCAAGAGAGCTGTTTCGTGTACATCCCTGGGCATCTGTCTGTCTGTCTCTGTCTGAGTGTGAGTGAGTCTGTCTCCTCTTCCAGACACCAAGATTTCCTGGTCCCCTAGTTTCAGCACTTCCTGCCACTCTTCCTACGTGGTTTACCAGCCATGCTCTCCTATTTAGGCCCAGAGAGGTCAAGACCGAGGCGCAGGAACACATCCCCACAGATTTTCCCTTAGCAAATATTAACTGAAGGCCCACTGTGCCAAAACTATATTGGCCTCTGTCTTTAACACTCAGTCCTCTCTTCTGGATAGTTGCAGCCACCTGCCCCTGAAGTTTTCCCTTCTGTCTACTTCCAAGTCTCCGAGGTTTTTCCAGAGATTTAACTTCACAATTTTTTTTGCTGTGCTGGGGAGGGAATCCAGGGCCTCAGACATGCTAGGCAATCGCTCTACCACTGAGCTGCACCCACAGAGATTTAATGTTGTCACTCTCAGTTTAAAACCTTTTGGTGGCTTCAAAGATAAAGCCCAGCGTCTTCCGTCTAACAGTTGAATACCTGGCTAATCTGGTCCCTGCCTCCACTCTTGACATCATCACACCTAACTAATGCAGTTCCCAGGACAGTGGAGTCTGAGCCCTTCTCCACTCTGCAGCTCTCCCTTCTGCACCCCGCTGCTTCCTCGTCCTTGAAGACTCACTTCAAGGTGCTGGTACCAAGGGGGCCTTCTCTGGCACCCCATCCTTTCCCTACACAGCCATGCCTCTGCCCCAGAATGCTCCATTGGACACATTCTAGGCCTGTGGTACAATGTGTTGAGCCTCCAATCCTTGGCCCTGGGCAGAGCACATAAGCACGTCTGAGAGCACCTGGCAGAAGAATGTGTGCTGGTCTGTGTGTCTGGCGCATCTCCATGGAGGAGTGCCTGTCTCCTGCCCCATCTCTCCCCTACCTGGACCAGTGCCCCTTCTGGAGAGCTCACACCTATGGGTGGGCCTTGAGGAGTACTTTCTATACCCACTCATCCTTCCCACTCCCATTTGGATCATGGTGTCTATGCAAAAGAGAGCCCCCTCCCTGTGAATATCACATGGGATAAGGATCCCACAGCGTCCCCCGGTCGTGTAAGGGCTGAGTGCTTGGCAGAAACAATGATCATTCCTTTCTTCTGTCCTTGCCTGTCTTTCGGGACCTAGTAAACAAGAAAGGTAGGAGTTGTTCCTTCTCCCTTCACACGCCTCCCTTCTACTTCTTATCCCTGTGTACATGTCAGGCCAGCAGGGAGGGACGGTGTTCTGACCAGAAGCCTCTTGACCTGGTGCTTTAAGCAGCAAACTGTCCAGTCAACACAACAGGCTCCCCGGTTCAGAACGAATCCTCATTGGCATAAGGGGCAGGCCTTGTTGCTATCTTGCCCTTTCGACTCCATACCCTCCACAGAGGATGCTCCTCCCCGCAGGGCACATGCACGATGCAGCTTCATTGCTTCCCCTGAGTCCTCAGAGCTCACCAGAACCTTCCCCAGGCTCCCAGTTTTTGGAGAAGTTACCTCAGTGCTGCAAGAGACTGTCTTGCTCCACTGTGCAGAGCAGCAGGGAACGGTGTCCGGATGCACACACACCGCAGTACACTCGGCAGCTCCCCCAGTACACATGTGCAGACTGCAAGGGGCCCCAGGGTGTTTCTCAGCAGCTGGATCCTATAGTCTGACCCTGTCCTTGTGGATGGGAAAGTGGAAGCCAGTGGGCCAGGACTCTACCTGGCTAGATGACACCTTTCCCGTCCCTCCCCTGCTGCTCTGGGCATTTACCCTGATATCTGGAGAGCCAGACAGCTGGGGCCCAGTCCCCTGTGATGTTTGTGTATTTTATATGTCATTTGCATGTTTCTTCCTGGTGGCTTCTGTTGCCTCAGCTGTGGTCTATCTTGGGGATAGCAGCCACTGCCCAGCAGTGACCTGCCTTCTGTCCAAAGGAGCCAACAGCCTCTGTGACCCTTTCCTTCCTTGCTGCACTACCTGCTCTGTCTACTCCACACTCCTGCTGTCTCCCTACCCCATCCCTACTCTGTGTTCCTTCATGTTGAGGCTGCTCTGCCCTTGGTTCCTCCATGCTCAGAGGACCCTAGTATGAGGTGGGGCAGTGGATGGGTAGAACTGTGAACATGGGGGCTCCATTGCAGCTGGCTGGCCTTGACCTGGACCTTGACATGGTTGACATCCCTCTGCCTTTTTAGGAAAAGGACCCACTCCCCATCATCAAAGGATGAGCAATCAATTGGGCTGAAGGACTCCCTCCTGGCCCACTCCTCTGACCCTGTGGAGATGCGAAGACTCAACTACCAGACCCCAGGTAGGGCAGCTTCCCCAGCCTGCTTGCCTGCCAGCCTAGATTAAGCAGGCTGCAGGTTCTGTTCCTTAGGTCACTGAAGGACCCCAGTTTTGTTCTCTTTGGACTGAAGTGACAGAAAAGTCCCATATCCAATATCTGGACAGGTGCTCAGGGCCCAGGATCCTCCTCAGGGCAGCAAAGCTGTTCATCAGTCCCAGCGGGTCTTTGGTCAAGGCCTCTGAATGTGGACTAAGGAGCTCCCTAGACCCCACATCCCAGTCACAGGGTGGCCAGTCTCTGCACCCATCCTCTGACCCTCCACACAGAGGGGCATGTTAGCAGTGAGCAATGCCCCATAAGAAACTGGAAGAGAAATGAGGTGTCATACCTGACCTTTCCTTCAGGCCAGCTCCAGGTCTACTATACAAGGACAGGGACTGCAGCTCAAGGCTCACTGCCTGCCCTTCCTCCCCAGCCACTCTCATGCTATCTGGCTGATTCTTCTACCTGAAACATCACTCCTTTTTCTCTGAGCCACACAGCACAGACCTCACCTCTTGGGAGGGTGCCCCACTCATGGCTGGGGATCTCCTCTGCTGGAATTCCCTCAGCCACAACCTTTGAGTTCTGCGGCACCAGATACCATGTCTTTTTCATCCCCCATCCTTGCATTCAGTATACAATGGGTTCTTGTTGAATGCCTGTGAAATGAGCACACAACAACAGAACAAATGAGTGAACTAATGCACACACAGAGGGTTTGTGTATATATGAGCCAGTTATTACTGCATATCAAATTAACCCAGAACTTAGTGGCTTAAAACAACAATAATTATGTATTATCTCTCACAGTTTCTATGAGTCAGGAATTCAGACAGGGCACAGCAGGGGCAGCGTCTCTATTCTAGAATGTTTGGGCCCTCAGCCGGAAGACTTTGAAGGCTGGGAGCTTGAATCATTTAAAGCAGGGGTTGGCAAACTATGGCCCATGGCCAAATTCGTCCCACTACCTGGTCTTATAAATAAAGTTTTCCTGGAATGCAGTCACACCCATTCATTTCTGGGTCTGTCTGCACTCGAAAAACAGACATCAGTAGATGTAGTAGATAGTGGAAGCAAAACCTAAAATATTTGCTGTCTGGCCTCTTAAGGGAAAAGTTTCCTAGCTGTTGGATTGTAAAGATGGCTCATTGAGGTGCCTAGTGATTGACAGATCAGCTGTGAGCCTAGCTGGGACAATCAGCTGGACATCCAGGCATGGCCTCTTCATGTGACCTGGGCTTCCTTACAACATGGTGACTGAGTTCAAGGGCATGTGTTCTGACATTGAGCAAGCCAGGCAACCCTAGCAGGCCAGCAAGATTTGATCTGTGAGGAATACAAGTACCAGGACAGTAGTACTGCAGGGCAGAGGACTTGCTTGGCAAGAGGTACCAAGCCATGAGGGCATTGTTTAGGGGAAAGGGTGGGAGGAGCTCCTTTGAGTGGAGACATTGCACACATGAGCTACTTGAGTGTTTCTCCAATATTGGAGTTGACCAACAGGTGAGTAGAAGTTCAGGCCAGAGGTCCCCTTGCAGAGGGACTTGGACAGCAGGCTGAGGAACTTGGGACTTCATCTTGAGGGTCCCAGGGAAGCACTAAAGGTTTTTAACAGGGTCAGAATTGTGCTGTAGAAATAGCACTGTGACTGCTATGTGAGAAGGGATTGATTAAAGGGGGAGAAAGTGGATCAGAGAGACTAGGCTGCTGAGTGGGTAGAAGGCATCAGTGGGGATGGAGGGAAGGGACGGACTCAGGAAGAATGAAGGAGATGAGGGCAGCAGGACTCGGGCTTGAGTGCACATGGGGGATATAAGGATGGCTCTGTGACTACAGGTAGCAGTGGGCCTGCAGAGTTTGGACCTCTGCTCTAGCCTCAGGGCTGAAACTACCAGTGTGGCAAGTGCTGAGGAGCATGCAGCAGCCAAAGCCCCCAAACAGAAGGCTCTTCCCGGGAGCAGGCAGGAAGGAGAGGGAGCCAGGGAGGGAGAGTGGCACAGTGTCAAGGAGGATGGTTGAAGAGTAATCAGGAGGAGGGTGGGGGTGACATGAAGAGCAGGTATCTCTCAAGTGCCACAGAGAACTGTGCATGGCAGGAAGGGACTAAGCAATTTATTTAGCAGAGTGGGAGACTCAAGGGAGGACCAGTGCCTTGGCAGGAGTGTGGCAACCCAGCACTGGGGCAGAAATGTTTCCACAGATTGAGGAGAAGTGGGGGGGGGGTTGCAGAGAAACTCTTCAGAGGCCACTGCACGTGAAGGAGACATGGCAGGCACTCGAGAAGACACACTCCTGTTGAGATACACCCTCTACCCCAAAGGCCAAATTTTGATACCTGAAGGAATACGGTTGGTTTGAACTTAATAGTTGGTCATAAAAAGAACCCTGAAAGGCCACCAACCCATGGGGTTTGTGAACACTCACATCTAGAGGTGGGACATCTGTCTGCGTTACTGGGAGACCAGAGGCCTGTGGTGGGTTTTATCCCATGGCCCCCTGCTCCTCACTGCTCTGACCTTCCTGCCCCACCCACACTGTGTCTGAGCTCATAGCCATGTGACCAGAACAGGTTAACAGGTTAACGGGCTCTCTTCTCTTGCCCCATTGTGTTTTTTTCTTTTGGTTTGTTTTCTCTGCAGGTTCCAGTGCCCCCAGTTGCCCGAATATTTCAAGTTAGTTTCCAAAGTTCCCACACTCCGGGAAACTTTGGCTTTGGTGTCGTTTCCATTTCTCTACTTTTCTCACCCCATCACCTCCTACCTTCCTTGTTCATTTCTCTCCTTTCCTCTCTTCTCTCCCCTCCTGGGCGTCTCCTCATCTCTTTCCTTCACCCCCTTCCTCTCTTCCCACCTCGTGACCTCCACTTCTCTTTTCTGCCTTCTTTCTCAGTCTGATAGCTCTCAGGGTGCCTCTCCCTCCTGTATCCTTGTCTCTCTCTCTCCATCTTCCTCCTCATCTCAGTTTCTCTCTGTGTATTCCTTCTGGGTCTCTCTGCCATTGTCTGTACTTCACGAACACTCCATCCACACACTCTGTGTCTGGGACAACAGTGTCACCCAGTCTCTTGTAGTGACCGGCGCCAGTGAGGGGCAGGAGGGCAGTCCCCAGGCAGGTGTGGTGGGAACCCAGCTTCCACCTATCAGCTGCCGCCAACCTGGGCTTCTAATATGAGCCCAGGAGGGAGGAAGCCTCCCGTTCCTCTTGAGCAGACCTGCCAGGCAGAGCCCTGGTGCCCCCACTCAGCACAGTGTCACCTGACATGCTTCCACGTGTTCACAGCATATGTACTTCCCCCTCTGTCCTCTCCACCCTCTGGCCACTGTGTGCTCCTCCATCCCTGTTGCCGCATGTGCTGCCGTCTCCATGCCACCAGTGCCAAGTGCTCCATGGTCCCAGTGTTCACGTGTGCACATACATGCATCAGGGCTGTCTCCACCATCCTGCTCGAGCCTCATGTTAACTGCCTGTGTGTGCCCTGCCTCCCCAGGTATGCGAGACCACCCACCCATACCCATCACCGATCTGGCAGACAACATTGAACGCCTCAAAGCCAATGATGGCCTCAAGTTCTCCCAGGAGTATGAGGTGAGACATAACCCTGACCCATGTGGCTGGGCGGGGGCCTACCCCATAACAGCTCCTATGTTGTCCCAGGTCAAAGCAGTGGTTAGGGTTCCAGGTTTTCCTGGTATAAAGAGAGGAATGACAGCTGGGGAACTGGCCTCCTCAGGTGCTGAGTCTAGCCAAGGCCCTGCCCAGACCTTCTGGTGGTCACCTAGGAGATGCTTTAGAAGTATGCTGGGTGCTCACACACGTACCCTGATGCTAACAGAGGCAGACACGGGGTACAGACCCAGATCAGTAACAAGAGCCACAATAGCTAGCTTTTGTCAAGAGCTTACTGCAGCCAACATTGGCTGAGCACCAAGCATCATCATCTCACTCCCCGCATAACCTTCTGAGGTGGTACTATATTACTGTCCCCTCAGGTGAAGAAGTGGGCCTCAGAGAGGGAAAGTGACTTGCCCACAGTGAAACAGCTGATGAGTAGTGGAGCTGGGATTCCAACTCAGGCCTACCTGACAGCCTGTGCCTGCACTGCATGACCATTCTACCCACACACTTGATGCCTGGGACAGCAGAGTGCTGAGCCTCCCATGGTGACTGCACCCATGAGGGTTAAGAGAGCTGTCCCCAGGCAGGTGTGGTGGAAGCCCAGCTTTTATCCCGTCAGCTGTCACCCACCTGTGCTCACATGTGCACTCGCAGTGCACAGCTTGCAGATGAAGAGCCAGGGGCTCAGGCCCTGCTCTTCAGATCCTCCTTGTGCTCACCTCACTCTGGCCTGTTGGTGGCTCAGATTTCAGGGTCTGAGGGCTTCTACCTGACTCACAGCTGGTGGCAGGAGATGACTCTGAATGTTTCTAGGCCGTCCAGCTTGGGAGGGACTTTGTTAAAGAAGGCAATAATAAAGGAGAGGCCCATCTCCTGTAGTAAGTATGGAGAGGTCTTTTCTGCCTTGTCCATCACTCTTTCCCAGCACCTGACATGGACCTCAAAACACTATTGACAGATAAGTGATGGGTGAGTTGGTTCAGCCTAACCTGAGAGTTTGCTCCCCTTTCAGTCAGATGTTCACCCTCAGGTATGTTTGGGGAAGTGTCCCAGGGTACCAAGGTTGCATTTCTAAGGGCCATGAGGCTGGACAGATTTCCAGAGTGTTAAGCCAGGTTTCCAAAGAGAAAATTAAGCTTGGCAGGCAGACATATGAACACTCCTTCTTCAAAGGAACCATGCTGCCTCTATGGTAGGGCACCCACTGCGGCCTGCTTTCTAGGTGGCCTCACTGCAAGTAACAAGCTCATAATTTGGGCTTGTCTGCTCATTATCTGTCTGTCTGACCAAAAGTGGTCTTCCACCTGGACTCATCTATGCCATGTCCCATCCCTGCCCTTCTGTTGAGGATGGGCCTCACTATGTAAGCTCACAAGACCTCTGATCACAGCAATCCCCCTGCCACCTACTACCTGTTCTGTCCTCTGAGTTATCCTGTAAAACCTTCTTCTACCCAGAAGTCCACTCTGGCCACTCAAGGCTGCTTAGGGCTCTCCCTCAGCCAGGATCCCAGAGCTCTCTCATCCTTAACATTCTGTTAGTTTTTTATCACATTTGCAAGCACTAAAGTGTATGCCACTCCCTGTGCTGGGTGCTGGGGATATGGAGACAAATGCTCTTAGGACCCAATCAGTTGGGAACCACGCAGGCAAGTAATTAGCATTGAATGTGTGACCAAATCCATATGTCCTTGTATTAAATATGACCAACATGCACAGAGAAGGGAGGTTGAAAGCACTGAGGCAGTCCAAGGGTCTGCATGCAATGCAGAGTACTATGGAATGTATTCATCTGTAAAATGAGGCTTATGACAGAACCCATCTCATATAGAATTAGATGAGAAAATACGGAGTACTCACAACAGCACCAGGCACACCAGAAGCTCCCATTGACAGTTAGCTATTACCATTACTACCGAGGCAATGGAGAGCATGGAGCCTTTTAAGCAGGAAATTGATATTCAGATCTGCATTTTTGAAATGTCTGAAGGGTCATTAAGAGTGGGTCAGGGGCTGGGGATGTGGCTCAAGCGGTAGCGCGCCCGTCGCATGTGCACGGCCCAGGTTCGATCCTCAGCACCACATACAAAGATGTTGTGTCTGCCGAAAAACTAAGAAATAAAATATTAAAATTCTCTCTCTCTCTCTCCTCTCTCTCTCTCTCACTCTCTCTTTTAAAAAAAAAAAAAAAGAGTGGGTCAGAATGGAGGAAGAGGGAGGGTGATGGCAACAGGTTGGAGAGCTGAGGAGGGGAGGAGCACCAGAATGCTGGCCAATAGGAGGGGCTGTGAGGAGGTTTTGAGGTGGACTTGGCAGGTGCTGGCCTGGGCTTCTGGGATATGGATGATAGTGCCATCCACTAAGGTGGAGTCCCAGCAGCAGAGCAGATTTGGCAGGGAAGCTAATGAATGTGGCTTTGAATTAAGACTGAAGGGCCAATGAGTTCCTTGTCCAGGAGGCTGCCAGGTACTCAGGAAAGAGCTCCTGGGCTGTAGCCAGGGTCTTGAACAGCTCCAGCATACAAGTGCAAGAATCCTGCCAGCAGTGGGGGTCATTCAGGAAAGGGGACAGAGTGAGGAGAGGGCCTGGGAGAATCCCTGGAGGAAGCTGTATCCAACCTGCAGATGGGCAAGCCCTGGGGAGCAGATGGAGAAGAAACAGCTGAAGAGGCAGAAGAGAGCTAGGCAAGGTGGTGCACAGTGTCCAGGGCACTCAATAGTTTTCAGTCTGGCCAAGGGTGCTGCTATTGCTTCCATCTGTCTGTGCCCATTTCATTCATAGAATGCACAGTCCTCTCCCCTGGCCACCCCAGTGTACTCTACCAAACAAGGAGATCTGGTGCCATGGTTAAAGGACTCCTCGGTGCATCACTTTCCTGATTAGGAGATTTGGCAACTCCGTGGCTCTGTGGCTAGGGGTGCTGCTCAGCTTTACCGGCAGCATTGGTAGAGGGCCAGTGCAGCTTTCAAAGTGAAGACAGGATGTAAGCACAGCTTGGAAGGCAGGGTCTCCTAGCAGGGGGTAAGTGTCCCTCTGCTCACCCCTCACTCCACCTGCTTTTTCTGTCCCCCGCAGTCTATTGACCCTGGACAGCAGTTCACATGGGAGAATTCCAACCTGGAGGTGAACAAGCCCAAAAACCGCTACGCAAATGTCATTGCCTACGACCACTCTCGAGTCATCCTTACCTCCATCGATGGTGAGCCAAGGGCAGAGCCTCCTCCCACCCCTTGTTCACCTCCCCCTTGCTATCTGGGCTGACTCATGCTACGGAGGCCATCCCTGAGTCTCGAGTGCACTGAGGCATGGTACTCTTGTCTAGGGGCACTTAGTAAATGCTCTGCCATATCCCCTTCCTTCTGTAGGTGTACCAGGGAGTGACTACATCAATGCCAATTACATCGATGGCTATCGCAAGCAGAACGCCTACATTGCCACACAGGGCCCACTACCTGAGACCATGGGTGATTTCTGGCGGATGGTGTGGGAACAGCGTACGGCCACTGTGGTCATGATGACGCGGCTGGAAGAGAAGTCCCGGGTGAGACTGAAGGGCCCTGCTAGGAGGTGGACAGGAAATAACTCAGCCAACAGGTGACATCGGACACCTTATTCTGTCCCTGTGGGTAGACGTTCCTCAAGGGATTCAAGCACTGTTGCTTTCCTGGAGTACTGTCATGTTCCCTAGGTATTGGGGTGTTCCTGGGATGTAGCATGTTCCCCAGATGCTAGTGGGTTCCTAGGATATTAATGTGTTTCACCAAATGCTGTCATTTACTGGAATGCTAATATGTTCCCCAGTTGCTGGCTTGTTCCCAGGGTGTTCACATGTTCCCCAGATGCTGGAGTGTTCCCGGGGCATTAACACATCTCCTCAGTTAATTAGTGGAAGGAGCTGCTGTTATCTGCTTTTGCACTGCAAACCATTGACTGGAACATAAAATTTACAGAGCTTGAAAATGGGGCATAAACGTTATGGGTAAATTTGGCAGAAAATGTGCCTGGTGCGATCTGGTCTTGAATAAATAATTTTCAATTATGGCCTTCATTCCACCAGTGAGGGCAAGGGTAGTGACATAGTGTGATGAGGCTTGATGAGGGAGAGAGGAAATGATTTGTGTGTATGTGTGTGCACACGCGTGTCTCTGTGTGGGATGGCGGGACACCAGGAATTGAACCCAGGGGCACTTTATCATTATATCCTCAACCTTTAAAAAAAATTTTTTAATATTTTTTTAGTTGTAGATGGACACAATACCTTTATTTTATTTGTTTATTTATATATGGTGCCAGGGATCAAACTCAGTGCCTGACACATGCTAGGCAAGCGCTCCACCACTGAGCCACAATTCCGGCCGTTAATTTATTTTTATTTTTTTATTTTAAGACGGGTTGTTACTAAGTTGCTAAGGCTGTTCTCAAACTTGCAATCCTTCTACCTCAGCCTCCTCCCAGGTCACTGGGATATGCCACTGTGCCCAGCAGGACAGTGGATTTGAGAGTTCAGGGCTGGAGGATCTTTTAACCAATAGGCTGGGCCTTCCTCTCTGCTTCTGCCTGCCTGGGCCTTTGTGTACTCTCTGACATCATCACCTGTGCCCTGCTCCCTGCTTTGTATTTCCCTCTGCAGGTGAAGTGTGATCAGTACTGGCCAGCTCGTGGCACTGAGACTTACGGCCTCATTCAGGTGACACTGCTGGACACTGTGGAGCTGGCCACATATACTATGCGCACCTTTGCTCTCCACAAGGTATGACTCTGCCATGGTACTTGACCATATAAGGACAGAGGCCTGAGTATGGTGGGTTAGAGTTGGGGACCAGTATAGGTATCAGAGGGTCAAGGACTGGGGTGGGGGTTGTGGGGGGTGATACAAGAACTTCCTCAACTTCTTCAGGGCGCCTTGTATGGTTTCTGAATCTATCCAAGAGTGGTGAGTCTGGCCCTGGGTGTGTGTCAGGCAGACTCCTAGTCACCACATCTCTCCTGACTTTGCTCCCCAGAGTGGCTCTAGTGAGAAGCGTGAGCTGCGTCAGTTCCAGTTCATGGCCTGGCCAGACCATGGGGTTCCCGAGTACCCAACTCCCATCCTAGCCTTCCTGAGACGGGTCAAAGCCTGCAACCCGCTAGATGCAGGGCCTATGGTGGTACACTGCAGGTGAGAGGGTATGATGCCACCAGAGGGAGTGGGGTGGGAGGCAGGGACCTCCAACCCAAGCTGAGCCCATGTCCTGCAGTGCTGGTGTGGGCCGTACTGGCTGCTTCATCGTTATCGATGCCATGCTGGAACGAATGAAGCATGAAAAGACAGTTGACATCTATGGCCATGTGACATGCATGAGATCGCAGAGAAACTATATGGTGCAGACAGAGGACCAGTATGTGTTCATCCATGAGGCGCTGTTGGAGGCTGCCACATGTGGACACACAGAGGTGCCTGCCCGCAACCTCTACGCCCATATCCAGAAGCTGGGCCAAGTGCCTCCAGGGGAGAGTGTGACTGCCATGGAGCTCGAATTCAAGGTAGGGCTCCAGTGGGCCTGAACTGGGTTATGCAGAACCCCCGTGGCTCCCCAAGGATGCCATACCTGACCAGACCCTTCCTGTCAATAGTTGCTGGCCAGCTCCAAGGCCCACACATCTCGCTTCATCAGTGCCAACCTGCCCTGCAACAAGTTCAAGAACCGCCTGGTGAACATCATGCCCTATGAACTGACCCGGGTGTGTCTGCAGCCCATCCGTGGTGTGGAAGGCTCTGACTATATCAATGCCAGTTTCCTGGATGGCTATAGGTCAGCAGGCTTGTCCCTGCAACACCATGCACTTTAGTGCCCAGGCCTGAGCCTGGCTGGTGGGGATGAGGGGAAACATGGTAGGGCCAATCCAGAAGACCAGAGTGGGTCGAGTAAAGCAGGGAGGGCTTCCTAGAGGAGGGGTGCTCTGTGCAGGGCCCCAAGGGACCAGGCAATCTCAGGGGAGACTGGGGGCAGCAGCACCTCCAGCATGTTCAGTGTTATGTCCACCCAGACAGCAGAAGGCCTACATAGCTACACAGGGGCCTCTGGCAGAGAGCACCGAGGACTTCTGGCGCATGCTATGGGAGCACAATTCCACCATCATCGTCATGCTGACCAAACTTCGGGAGATGGGCAGGGTGAGCCCACCCCTTCCCCTAAGGACCCAGCCACCCTTGGGAGAGACACCCCTTTTGTTACTTTCTATGTAACAAGGAGATTTTCATACCCCAGCCTCCATCAGCATTAGCCTCAGACCCCACCTTCTCACCACCTGAGGCATCCTGTCCTACAGTCCTCTGAAACCTGGTGCTCCCTTCCTCCTTCCTCCCCACCTGATCATGGGGGCTGGGCCCTGTGTCCACAGGAGAAGTGCCACCAGTACTGGCCAGCAGAGCGTTCTGCTCGCTACCAGTACTTTGTTGTCGACCCGATGGCTGAGTACAACATGCCCCAGTACATCCTGCGTGAGTTCAAAGTCACAGATGCTCGGGTGAGTATTGGTTAGAGACTTTTGTTCACACAAAAGGACCACACTGCCCTCACAGTACCTTAACTACAGGAATCAAAAGAGAGTGTAGGTTTGGGAGTGTGCGCCTATCTTCCTGGGTGGCTTCATGGGTAATGACTTCAAGGGTGCATGCCTGTGTTATTGTACTCCCCCAACCTGGCCCAGAAGGACTGTAGCCTACGACACAAACTTAAACCCTGTACCTTGCCCACCTCTCCCAGGATGGGCAGTCGAGGACAATCCGGCAGTTCCAGTTCACAGACTGGCCAGAGCAGGGTGTTCCCAAGACAGGAGAGGGCTTCATAGACTTCATCGGGCAAGTGCACAAGACCAAGGAGCAGTTTGGGCAGGATGGTCCCATCACAGTACACTGCAGGTGGGGCTGTCCCCATCAGGGCTGGGGGTGGGCCTGAAAGCCTGGCATACCACTGCCAGAGGTGAGCAGAATTTCTGACCTGGCTCTTCTCTGAGTAGTGCTGGTGTGGGCCGCACGGGAGTATTCATCACTCTGAGTATTGTCCTGGAACGCATGCGCTACGAGGGTGTGGTTGACATGTTCCAGACTGTGAAGACCCTGCGCACACAGCGTCCTGCAATGGTGCAGACAGAGGTATGTAGACCAAAGTGCAGGGCTAAAGTCTCCCTGACAGCCCTCCCTGCGACCCTAGGCTGTGGCTGCAGTTGGACATACACGGGCACAAGGGTATGTTCGTGCTACAGATGTGTACCAATGCCTGTTCTGATTAAGGTGCAGGGGAGAAATGAGTGAGATGTGTTCCTTTATTCAGTAGCTCTGAACTCGTAGTGTGTCTCTGGTTAGGGTTGGACACGGCACGGTATAGAAGCAGATAAACATGATTGGAGTGGCAGGTAAAACAGGTAGATACAGGGGCCTGGGAGAGGGAAGGGAGAGAGAACAGCCTTGAGAGGCTCTTTTAGGCCCCTGGATAGTGCCTAGGGCAACTCTCAGGGTACAGCGCCTGCTCTTGGCCAGAAGACACTGATTCCCTAGGCCATGGGCTGCAGCATGAGTGCCCTCTCAACAGTGTGGTTTGGGATATCCGTTGGCACTGCCTACACTGACCAGTCGCTCTGTCCTGGCAGGACCAGTACCAGCTGTGCTACCGTGCGGCCCTGGAGTACCTCGGCAGCTTTGACCACTATGCAACGTAACTACTGCTCCCCTCTCCTCCGCTGCCCCCACTAGGGGGCTATGGAGGGGACCCAGCTCCTCTGAGCCATACCGACCATCGTCCAGCCCTCCTGCACGGATGCTGTTGCCGGCAAAGCACAGTCCACTGGGATCACAGCGTTTAAGGAACATTGCCACACCAATCAGAGTCCAGAACACCCCTGGGCTAGTGGGCGGACCGGCAGGCAGGCTCTCTGTCCACCAGGCCCAACTGGAGCCTGCTTCAAGCTCTCTGTTCAGTTCCGCGTTTCTCATGCTTCTCATGGGGTGGGGATCGGGGCAAAGCCTCCTTTTTATACATTAGGTGGGGTAGACTGAGGGATCCTAGCCTCTTCCCTCTGATTTTTCCTTTTGCAAATCCTTAACTGCAGAATGGGCCATTTTGGGGTTTGGGGCTCATTTTTTTTCCTTTTTGAGTTCACTTTGGACCCTTTTTATTTTTTTTGGTCTTATACTGCTGAAGGACAGAACTTGCCTTGCCTTCCTCATGTGGAGCTGGACCACTAGCCTGAGCAAGGCTTGACTATGGACCCAGGAGTGGCACAGTTCAGGCTGCTCCTCCAGCCCTTCAGAGGAGATCCTGTTCCAGCCAAATGCAGGGAAACACAGTTTTGCTTTTTTGCTTTTTGTTTTTTGTTTTCTGGGGTTTTTTTTCCTTTTTTTTTTTCTTTTCTTCTAGGTTTTGTTTTGTTTTTCTTTTAAGAGCCTTTTTTAGGCCCCACAGACAGTGGTGGGCAGGGAGGCGATAGGAAACACATCCCCAGTCGTCTGTTCCAGTGTGTGTTTAACATTCACAGCCCACAACCACAGACGTGTCTGAGGGAGCCTAGCAAGGCATTCCTCATCACCATCGTGTTTGCAAAGGTTAAAAAGAAACAAACAAAAAACCATTTAAAAAAAAAAAAAAAAGGAAGAAGAAGAAATGAAAGAGAAAACCAGAGAGTCTGGCCTCTGCTTCAAACCCCCAAGAAGGAAGTGACTCTGTGCATCTGAGGCTACCCAGGGGCTCGCAGAGCCTTGCTGTTGTCCCCAACATTGCAGTAGGGCTGGCATTTGTAGGCTGTGGAGTCTGGCCACATGGCCAAGCAAATGGCACAGGTCAGGGTCTGTGTCACGCCCCACACACCTCAGGGCCCAGCGGGGGCGTGGCTGGCCCTTCAGGTCCAGGCCAGTGGGCCTGGTAGCACATATCTGTCCTCAGCAGGGGCCAGATGATTTTCCTCCCTGGTTTGCAGCTGTTTTCAAAGCCCCTGAGAATTGCTCTTTTCCACTCCTTCAAGATGCCCTCATAAACCAATGTGGCAAGACTACTGGACTTCTATCAATGGTACTATAATCAAACTTATTATCTCAGCTTGCTGAGGGGCAGGGAGAGGGCCTCTTCCTCTGGGCAGCACTATCTAGATAGGTAAGTGGGGGCGGGGAAGGGTGCATAGCTGTTTTAGCCAAGGGACATGATGCCAAGGTCCCCAGGTCTAGCTAGGCTAAGTCAAGATCAACAATCCAGGGTTGGTAATGTTGGATGAAACATTCATTTTTACCTTGTGGATGCTAGTGCTGTAGAGTTCACTGTTGTACACAGTCTGTTTTCTATTTGTTAAGAAAAACTACAGCATCATTGCATAATTCTTGATGGTAATAAATTTGAATAATCAGATTTCTTACAAATGGGGCTTCCTGTCTCACCTCTTTTGGGATCCAAAGAATCTGGACTCTAAGTCAGTAGCATGGGTTCTGGAGATTGCCTGCTCTTGAGAGGACAGTGAGGCTATCCTGAGTATTTGTGACAGGGCTGGCTCCTGTCATGGCTGTCTCTTCAGCCCTGAAAATGGAGCCACCAAGAGTCAGGCCTGAACCACCCTGGGAAGCACCCTGGAATTGGGAGTACACTCTTCACCTCTCTTCCTCTTGGAATGCTATAGGTTGTCATATTGGGGATACTGAGCTTCCCCTGCTAGAAGCCATATTCCCCTTCTACAATCACCTCCTTCCTTTCTTTCTCCCCTAAAGGGCGGGATGGCCCTATGGCATAAAAACCTGTGACCATGCTGGGTGTGGTGGCACATGCCTATAATCCCAGCAGCTGGGGAGGCTGAGGCAGAAGGGTTGCAAGCTTGAGGCCAATATCAGCAACTTGGCAAGACCCTGTCTCAAAATTTAAAAAAATAAAAAGGACTACAATGTAGCTCAATGTTAAAGCACCCCTGGATTCAATCCCCAATACAATAATAACAACCACTTTCATGGGTAAACTGGTTAATGAGGACTCTTCTAATTTTTGCAGTGTGGATACTGGATGCCAAAAACTAGGTGATGTGGCCCCTAAATACACAGCAACATCTACTGATTGAGCCCTATGGCCTCCCCACTGGTGATCAGACAAGTCCTTCTTGGCTATAAAATTATGGAACTTCTAGGGATTTAGGGATAGAAACCCAGAACAAGTGAGGAAGAGAAATTCCTAAGTCAGCAGTAACACTTAAAAGAGAACATCGTGACGTAGTCCATTGGCCTGTCGCAGAGATGCCGTGAGTATACTAAAGCAGTACCTGACCCAGGGCAAGGCTTCCTGGAGAAAGTGACATTAGCTGGATTCAGGCGGCTTCATAGGGTGAGTAGTGCTTAGATTTAAACGATCAGTAAAACATCCCCAACAGAGGACATAACCTGTGCAAAGGCTCAGAAGCATGGAAGAAATCAAAACCAAACTCAGGAAGTACAATGTGACTGAGGTAGAGACACTGGCCTAGAAAGTGAGCTGGGTGGAGTCGAGGGGTCCTCTAAGGGGACTGCTTTGACTTAAAGGGATGCAGGTCCCCCAGACAAGTGAAGTACCTCTCTAACATCCTAAGTTCATGGTGGCCCTCGCCACATTCTGGTATTGGTAACTGTCTCCTGGGGCCTGTGAGTGATGGAGACTTGACACCAGGTCCCTTCTTGGTATCCGTAGCACCTAGTTCAGTGCCTGGCATATTTCTATTCATTCAAGGAAAAGACACCATTATTACATGATTCATTAAATTTGATACAAAAAAGTGTGAAAACTTTAGGTTTGGTTCAATGATAGAGTGCTTTACCCAGCATGCATGAAGCCTTGGGTTCAATCCCCAGCACTCCCCCAACACCATCAAAAAAAAAAAAAAAAGACATTAAACATCTTCAGGTAAAGGATAAACATGAAATTTTCACTTGAGAGACATCAGTATTCAGAATACCCCAGGCAGGCTCTGGGCTAAGTGCTTTATGGACTGATTGCTAACCCAAGGGTAGAATAGACTCCTCTTTCCCTTTCACAGGTGAGGCAACAGGCTCAAGTGGAGTTACTGTCAAGAGACCACAGGCAGAGGAACACCAGAGTTGGGACCATTACCCACTGATACCTGCTCCAGAGATCCTTTTCCATCACCCAGTGTCAGCCCTCCTTCCCCTGCCCTCTTAGACCGTCCCTATCTCCAGACCACTCCCCTCACCAGGGCCCCCCATCAGAGTTGGGCATCCCAGCCAGTCAGCTTTCCTATCAGACATCTCTTCCTTACCTTTACATTCAACTCAGGTCAAACTCTGTCATTTGGCCTCCACTTGGCACCTCTTCAACTGTCAATATTTCTATTCTTTCTGTCTCAAGCCACCCTCTTACCTGGACTGCTGTCATGTCACCTCCCTGGTCTGCCTGCCCACAGTCCTGCCAGGCCAAACCAATCTCAACATAGCAGCTATGGCAATACTTCTCTCAGGGCAGTCATGACCAAGACAATGTCCTGAGGAAAAGAAAATATTTTAATAGAAAGGAAAAATTTGTTTCATCAACTCATTCAACAAATAATAGCTAATGAGCATTTGCCATGTGGCAGTCACCCTCTGGGTACTTGAAACAAATAACATCGGTGAACTGAACAGACTGCTGTCCTTGGGGCATGCATAGTCTAAAATTAGGAAACATGATACATAGGAAAAATAGCAAATAGGGATGGGGATATAGCTCAGTTGGTAGAGTGCTTGCTTCGCATTCACAAGGCCCTGAGTTCAATCACCAGCACCACCAAAAAGAAAGGGGAAAAAATATTTATATATATGTATTTATAGTTTGTTAAATGATGATAAGTGCCATGGTATTGGGGAGTGGGGCAGGGTACAATAAGAAGGACCAGGCACGTGGGGTAGTAAGGGGAAGCCTCATTGGAAAGATGGGATTTGAGGGGCTGGGGCTATAGCTCAGTGGCAGAGTGCCTAGCATGCATGAGGCACTAGGTTCGATCCTCAGCACCACATAAAAATAAACAAAATAAAGGCATTCTGGACTGCTGTCATGTCACCTCCCTGGTCTGCCTGCCCACAGCCCTGCCCAGGCCAACCCATTCTCAACGTAGCAGCTGTGGCAATACTCCTCTCAGGGCAGTCATGACCAAGACAATGTCCTGAGGAGGAGAAGAAAATATTTTAATAGAAAGGAAAATTTTGTTTCATCAACTCATTCAACAAATAATATCTAGTGAGCATTAATATTACAACTACAAAAAAAATTTTTTTTAAAGATGTGCAAGCACATCTATAATCCCAGCAGCTCAGAAGGCTGAGGCAGGAGGATGATGAGTTCAAAGCTAGCCTTAGTAACACACACACACACACACACATCCAGACAGAAAGGTCAACTAAAGCAAAGGCACTGGGCAGGAATGTGCCTGATAAGGCTGGTGTGGCTGTGACACTGAGCAAGGGAATGAGTGAGTAGCAAGGGAGAGGTTCGAGAGCATAGAAGTCCAGGTGTGAGAGGCCAGATTTTATTAGCTTGAAGGCAAAGCTGAGAGGAATAACTGATGGATTGGATGAGAAAAAGGAATCAAGGTTGACCCCACAGTTTAGACCTGAGCAGCTAGAAGGATAAAGTCAGCATTGATTGGTGGGGAGGCTTTACATATGGGTTAGAAAGCTACTCAGTGGTTCCAACCAGAATTTGGTGGAGTTGGTATCACTTTTCCTTTGGTACTAGGGATTGAACCCAGGGATGCTTTACCACTGTGCCATATCCCCAGTCCTTTTTATTTTTTTATTTTGAGACAGGGTCTCAGTAAGTTGCTTAGGGCCTTGCAAAATTGCTGAGGCTGGCCTTGATCTTGCAATCCTCCTGCCTCAACCTCCCAAGTCACTGGGATTATAGGTATGCCCAGCAGGACCAGGTATTACTCTTAGTCTGCCTAACTCTAAGGTTCTCTGCCTAGTGAAAGAGTTTTAAGGACAGGTTTTTTTGTTTTGTTTTCTGAATTCTCTGAAAATAGTTAATTTTACTTTAATTTCAAATTAATCAAATTTTTATAATCATACCATTAATATTAACTGTTTTTAAAGCAAGAAATACTTGAATAGAATAAGGGGATAAGTGTTAAAGTCTCCATTCTCTTCCTACCCCCCAACTTCCTGGTGAGAAAAACTATTCACCATTTAGTCCATGCCTTTATGAGCCTTTTCTATGAATATGCAAACATGCACATAACCTTTACATCACTAGAATCATTGTTCATATCATTCTGCAAATAGCCTTTTCATTTAAATATACCATGACAAGCTGGGGATATAGCTCAATGGTAGAGCACTGGCCTAGCATGCACAAGGTCCTAGATTTGATCCTGACTACAAAAAGAGGGCTGGGGATGTGGCTCAAGCGGTAGTACGCTCGCCTGGCATGCGTGCGGCCCGGGTTCAATCCTCAGCACCACATACCAACAAAGATGTTGTGTCTGCCGAGAAATAAAAAATAAATATTAAAATTCTCTCTCTCTCACTCTCTCACTCTCTCTCTAAAAAAAAAAAAAAGAAAAGAAAAGAAAGAAAACGCTTTAAATATTCTGTGAGAAGCCCATTGCAGTGGCAGTGTGGCATATCTGTAACCCCAGCTACTTGGGAGGGTGAGTTAGGAAGATTGTTAACTTTGAGGCCATTCTGGGCAATTTAATGAGAATCTGTCTCAAAATAATAATAAGTTCTGAGGATGGAGCTCAGTGGTAGAGTACCCCTGCATTCAATCCCTAGTACCAAAATAAATAAATACATAAAATAAACAATAAAAAACTAATAAATAAACAAATTTAAAAATCACATATGACGTTATTATATGTACAGAGTATACTCCTAGGCCATGGAGTCTTTCACTCATCTGCATCTTCAGTCTAAGCCAGAACTGCTAATTTAACTTCTTTGGCTTTGTTTTATTACCTGACACAGCTAGTCTTCATCATTATCTTTTTTTTTTGGGGGGGGGGGTTCAGTGGTTCCAGGGATTGGATTTAGGGGCCCTCAGCCACTGAGCCACATCTCCAGCCTATTTTTTGTATTTTATTTAGAGACAGGGTCTCTCAGAGTTGCTTAGTGCCTCGCTTTAGCTGAGGCCGACTTTGAACTCACAAGCCTCCTGCCTCAACCTCCCAAGCCACTGGGATCACAGACATGCGCCACTGCACCTGGCTCCCTTCCCTCAATTTTTTTTATTTTTTATTTATTGTTTAGTTTTCGGCGGACACAACATCTTTGTTGGTATGTGGTGCTGAGGATCAAACCCGGGCCGCACGCATGCCAGGCAAGCGCGCTGCTGCTTGAGCCACATCCCCAGCCCCCTTCCCTCAATTTTGATTGCAGTTTTCTTTTGGGGGGGTTTGGTTTGTTTGTTTTTGGTGGTG